ATATCAACTCGCAAAACCGCTTGAGAGCGAAGAGAGATATTGGAAACAATTTATTCAGGGGGGTTTGGCTTTGAAACTGATTTGGACGGCATTCTGACACAATAGCTAAATGCTATCAAAATGAAGATGCTGTAGATTGTGGCAGATAAATCCCAGTTCTCCAGCTCGCTGAAGGACTTTTTGTTGAACAAGGCTGAAGAATTATGACACTGATGTGACGGATATGAGGCACAAAGAAGAACTAATAGCGCACGTTTAATGCACACCAGATGTAGAAGGGGGCCGAGTCTTGTAGCAACTGTATGCTGTGTGCCAGCAGAAATAAAACATTATTGAGACTCCTTGCTCAGATTTGGCCAGCTTTGTAGTGTAAAGAACCAGGAGAGGGAGAAACAAAGGGAAGTTTTTCAACCAGGGCTCCAAGACTCCACTGAGAGTAGAATTCCTTGTGGGAAAATATTCCAAGACTTAAGTGCAAGTCGGGGTGATTTCTGGAAGGGATTGTGGAAACTGTTTGCAAAAAGAAGTGCGTCAACATTCTGTGGACAGAAAGAGACATTTAGGTAATATAACAGTTGCCTCAATAATAGTTCCATGACAAATGTAACGAAGCTGTTAAATTAAGGGTGGCATAAAACACAGGCACATTGGATCCAGTATTGATCTCGGGTCACCATTAATGTGAATTGGTTTAAAGCTTTGTTTTTAAAAGCACAATGTGGAGCCTCTTAAGACTTATGAAAAAAAAGTAACTGTTGATATTGTATCTGGATTACCACTGACTAATCACTGACTAATTAACACTGACTTACCACTGCTTCTGTCTAAAGTGCTATTCAATCAATAGCGTTTTTTTTCAGTGCAGTGTTAACATTTTCATACATTGATGCTTTTTACTCTAACTGCAGTTTCTGGCAGCGAGTTCCACATTCTCACCAACCTCTGCTTGAAAAAGTTTGTCTTGAACTCCCTATTAGATCTACTACAAGCTATTTAATATTTATGCCCTGCAATGATTTGTAATGATTGTAATGACTTGTGAAACCTTCATTAATCTCTCTGAAACATTTACCTCCTGTTGGCGTGGGTACTTCATGTTGCAGCTAAGTTCTGCCATAAATATTTAATGATACATCCACCTTCTGTGAATGCTTTAAAAACACAGTTTGAAAAGAAAAGCTTTTTTTTCTCATTATTAACAACTTCCGTCTTGTCTCTAGTAATATTCATTATTGGCATCTAATTTACATTTGCTTATCTACATAACAAATAATCCTCATGGCTCCAAAAATACAGGTGAAGTTCAGAATAGCCAAGGGCTGACACAACTTCCTTTAAGATGCTTGGGAAGAAAATGTTAGTTTAGCTTACACACATCCGCCAAAATGTCCGAATTCCCCGAATGACCACTTAAATTAGCGTATTTGCTGCCTTGTTTTTTGTTGTTGAGTTTGGCATGGGATGGGCAGAGCCTCTGGGAATTGGCTCGCTGAAGGCAAGCTAGAGACATTAACCCTTTCCCATGGATTTGGTTGAAGACTTTCCATTACTCATTTGGGCAATGGTTAATTATGGCTGTTTACAGTGCATAAAGGTTGAAGTGGAACAAATACTGAGGAGCTCTGCTGGGATGGGTGAGAGATTGGTAATTGGCTTGAACCCATTGCCTGGTGTCACCATGTTTCTGCTCCAAGGACTACAATTGTTGTGAGGTGGTTAACGAATTGCTCATCCATTCCCCTGATGTTTTGCATGTATCATAAATGCCTTAAAAGACTTTAAAGGCTTGTGTTATATTTTTCTCGGTAAGTAGAGGACGATAAACATATATAATAATGTGTGTTGTGTTATTTAATGCTGCTCTTTCTGTAGGTCTCTGGAACAGGAAGCCAAAGCCTATATTGTCGACTATAGTAGTGATTGTTGAACTGGAATGAATTATCAACACAAACTAACCAGCTCATTGCTCACAGCTTTAACAGTGCCATCCAATTTGACGCTTCATTTTTAGTCATCATTAATTGGTGACTAATACTGAGATAACGGTGAAATTTGGAATTTCACAATATCTATCCACTTTCTGTGTAAAGATTAGATTTTCAATGTGTCATTTTGTTCTAAGTAAGGAAACAACTCAATCAAAGCAGGGCTATAAATTGAACAGATGATAACTTTGCTGACATTCTCTCTCAACAATTTTCCCATCCTCTCCTTTCCTGCTGAAGACATTAACTCCTTGTTGAGGTGTGGTTCTACTTGTGGAGTTCCAGCTAACTCCATACTGACCAATAAATACTGAGAACAACAACAATATCCAATTACATTTGTATTGTGCTTTTCACGTCGGGAGGACATCCCAAAGCGCTGGAGAACTAGAAAATGCAAACTGGTACAGTATTCCATTGCCTGAAGTATACTTGTAGCTATCAATTACAATGAGCATTAAGAGAATCGATGTGCAAATTGGCTACCACTTTTGCCTACAAAATTCACATTCACTACACTTAACAGTAAATTCCATGAAGCGCTTTGAGATGTTCTCCTGGACATGAAAGGCGCCATATTAAATGCAAAGATTATCGCATTATTCTGGCCATGTTGCCACAACCAAATTCCAACAATTAAAGTGTCACGTCTTCACGAAACAAGTTTGGCAAAGTATTTTTTCTTTCTCCTTTGGGCATGATGCAAATTGCACAAAGTAGATTGTATAGGTTGTGGATTGTATAGATCAGCCATGATTTAAGTATAGTTCAGCCATGATCTAATAGAATGACAGAACAAGCTCAAGGGGCTGAATGGCCTACTCCTGTTCCTGTGTTCCTATGTCATGCTGATATAAAAAAAAATCCCCGGCTCTCAGCCTTCTCCATCTGAGATCTAGGAAGTCTGACAAACACTGTGTCAAGAAGGCGATGCTCCTGGGAAATTAGGCAACAAACCATTTGGTCTCTGGCACCTTCATGTAAACACAACTAATGTACTGTTTGTTTACTGGCTTCTTTTTACACAAGTTTTTATAAGGCTTCCCACTTAAGATTGATTGTTTTTTTTCTCTGGTAAATACTAAGAGAGTTACACCACACAAGATCGTGGCTTAGTTGCACCAAAAGCAAAAAGTTTAGCAACTGCTAACGGTAGTCAATTAAAGGGTCAAAGAAAACACCTATTGTGCATCCTGATTATTGCCTTGTTTTTACGTTAGGTATATGAATATGATATCAACACTCAACAGATAGGAGCCCAAACCAGATCCGAAGTTCTAAAGATTCTGCAGGCACAGATGGTGAAATGACCACAGATGCAGAATCATCTCCATACTAGTTCACAGCTCAAATCTCTCTTAATTAAACAGTGCCATTCGGACCACTGGACGTTATTTACCAGTCACTCCAGTGTGGTTGTTAAGCGATCACAATCTGTCCCACTTCAGTAAAGTGAACACAGGGCATGTTTTATCAGAGACTTGATGCACAAACATTGCATCCAGCATCTCTCCCGTACGGGGCGCAGAAAGCACGGAATAGAAATTGGGAACTTTGTGTAGGAGGAAAAAATAAGTGCGTACAATGGTGGTACTGTGCATTTGCCAAAGGAATGCTTGTTTAGTGAGTTATCTGCTGTGGGGTAGCAGAACCAGCTGCTCTCAGGTTAAAGATCCAAAGTGTCCTAGAACGCCCACATAAGGAACTGAGGCAGTTCAGAGGAAATCACTGCTGGTGGACAGAACAATGGGACTTGTGGTAGGAATTCCATTTAAGTAACGTACACGTTCATACGAGCACTCGGGTTGTTTCAGCCACATTTTCTCTCCATTGTTTCAGGGTAGCCTTTTCTTTAAAAGTCTATGACTTTTTAGCCCAGACTCCCCAAAGCAAAGGATTAATTTATTACCCCCATATTGCGTGTTTTCCAATTTGTTCCTTTCAAAATGAGTTAGATTAAGACCTTGTATCCATTAACTAGCTGAGGAGGAGACATGCCTTCTTGATCCACCATCAAACTATTTTATTATCATCAATGTGAAAGAGGATAAATTGATATTAATAACTGAATGTTTGCGCTCCAGGACACTTGTACGTGTGTTCATTAGAAGTGTATAGCTCAGCTAAAACCATCAGTGATTGTAAATTATTTATACTTTAAGGGAAATGTAATACATCAACATCAGCGTCTGATTTATAACATTCATAAAAGAATCATAATTTGGACATTCAGACTTATATGATGTAGCAGTTGTAATTTAATGGTATGTGTAATTTACCGGACATACTTGAAAGCAGTCAATTGAATATTTCATGCACTTTTGCCACTGTAACTGATGTGAATAGTGCTCCTAAACTTGTGAAGTACAGACTCTTAAACCATCCAGCCATCTATTTGCTCTTATATCTTTGAATCGGTGTCAATTGACACAATGGGGCAAAATCTAGACTAAACTAAAACGTTACAGATAAATACTGAGGCATCACAACCCAATCCAAAACAAAGCAAAACTTCTCGTAGTGGTGATCGTGTCATAAATTAACACATTTTCCTATTCCTAGCACTCGCTACAAGGTTTGTACAGAACAAACCGCTGTGATAATTCTGGTTTCCTTATGCAATGTGCTTGTCGTAAAGATCACCACTGGAGAAACACGAATGCACACCTGCAAAACACTCATAAATATCAGCGACTGGCAATGGTCAATTTAAAAATGGAGTTAGCTTTTTGGTAAATAACATTCCTGTTACAGTATGAAACATTTCTACTATATACAGAGATAATGTGCAAAGGCGGTCGTAAATTTATTTTATGATCGCCTGAAAACGTAGGTATATTTGGACTGGAAAATAGAAGTATTCCTAGAAATGTTCACGAGCGGCAGGTTGCCAATAACGTTAACTGGGAGTGGGAATGAGCTTAGCCACTTGCTGCTGTGAGCTCAGTCAGGAAAGTCGATGAACTCTAGGAGGTGATGATGAGAAAACTAAATGCGTGTGTTTATCTCACACAGAGGATGAAGCCTGCGATACAGAGAAGGCGTTCAGCACCCACAATGGCCATTAGCAAAGCACTGAGCAAATCAAGAACCCCATCGAGGTGAGTGTTTCTGTTCTTTAAGACGATTGGATTCTGGAAACCTGTAACGCTCTCCCCCAAAAGACCGTTGGATCCATTCACATCTTCAAAACTGTGGCAGATACCTATTTGTTAGGTCATGGTATTAAGGGACACGGGGCAAGGACGGGTAATTGGACTTGAGGTACAGATCAGCCATAGAATGGTGGAACTGACTCGAGGGGCTGAATGGCCAACTCCTGTTTCTGTGAGAGTTCCAGGTGGGTTATTAATTAACGCAGATCTGAATGTTCAAATTGTTTATTTCTGTTTTCTTCACATTTTTGTCATGTGATTTTTTTGGCAAACATTTGAGTGGTCAGCAGTGCAGCTTGAAAGGTACAAAAAATATTATTGCACTTTTACTGGAGCTCAAAATCTAGATTGGCGCTCTGCAGTCTACTTCTCTACTTCTTGGAGATGGCACCATTGTGCGAGACGTTAAACCAATGCACAGTCTGCCTGTTCTGATGGGTATTACTTTGGAGTATAAACACTGGCATGAACTCATTGGGCCAAATGCTCTATTTCTGTACCATATTGCTGTGCAACAACACCTCGCATTTATATAGAGCCCGTCATGCAGGATTCCGTGGCTGAGTGCTGATTCTTTGTCATTCCATGTCCATTCCTTTTTAGCCTTGTTGATAATGAGCAGCTGGAAGACATTTCAAAGCTTCGTCGTGTTTTCATTCTACAGTACTTTTAAAGCAATCGAAAAAATAAATGTTTTTTTTCTCAATCAAACCTGCAATGTTATTTATTCAGGGTTCATCGATCACAGTCCGTTTAGACTCAGACTGAAGCATTTCACGTTATGAGCTTTGAAAAAAATTCCTCAAATGTACATTTTGCTCTTAATTGTGGTGTGAAGGATCGATTTCATATTTCTTGATCTACTTGGGATAGTTGGCAGGGTCAATCGTAAAATGCTTCCCAAGAATGGCTTGGATTCCATCCCAAGGCAATTTCCTGGTTAAAGCCATATCTCAAAAACAGAACATAATGTACAATTTGTACATGGCACTTTACAGGGTTTATACTATATAAGATGCTTGTGGTCTTTTCAGAGTTTCAAATTTAGCTCCTTTCCTCTTCTGCATATTGAGGCACTGTATTTGTGTCAATGACCTGCATATGGCACATTTTACAGTCAATTCACTTGGCAGTATATTCTGTGAAGCGCTTTGAGATGTTGCGAAGACGTGATAAGGCGCTATATCAAATGCAAGGATTATTATTATGATGATAATTATTTGCACGCAGGTCCAGTATTCTTATGTATTGAGATGGCAAAATCACACTAATTATTATTATTATTATTAAAGAACTCTTGAAGGCATTTCATCTCCCTCTTTAGGTCTCCACACCTCATATATCATTTGGGAATGGGATTGGGGCAGGGGTGGGGGATTAAGCAACCGGTTTCTAGGCTGTCACCAGTGTTATTAATAATGATAATCCTTACATTTGATGTTACACCTTTATGGGAGAGCGTTGCAAAGTGCTTCACAGGAATTACTATAAAGTGCAGTGACCGTGTAGTCTGTAGGCAAAGCTCAGCAATCAATACGCACACAGCAAAGTCCCACAACAACAACAACAACAAGATTTCATTTATAGAGCGCCTTTCATGTCGGGAGGACGTCCCGAGGCTCTGGACAGTTGGATCGGGACCCGAGCAGGGGGGGAAATGGTCAGGGTGAAGGGAGGGAGCGAGGAGGGGGCAGAGAGTCGAGAGGGGAGCCGAAGGCACGGTCGAAGAGAAACAGCCATGAAGCAAATGATCAATTTTGCAGGCTCGGGGGAAACTCCCTTCTCTCTTCGAATAGTGCTAAGCGATCAACAGCGTCCACCTGAACAGACAAAAGTTTAGTCTCTCAGTTCAGTTGTTTCATCCGAAGGACGTTACACCTCGAACAAGGTTGTACTAAAGGTGAAGAGCAGGGTGATGAACTGGCAAGTAGCTTGCTCTCTGACCTTATCCCCTGAACGCTAGACTGTGACTTCACTGAAAACAAAGATCAAGAGCTGCTCCTGTGGGAATCACAGGAGTAAGGCCACCATGCTGTGCACAAAGCATGGGAGGATGGGATTGAAGTGTGTCCTACTGCAACAACAGCATACTTTAGAATGCTGACATTCTCTTTTGCACTCGGATTTGGCAGTGATTAAGAATTGGCCTGACTTGACACCAAGGTCAATAGAATGATGCTGAAAGGGAATTTTTTTCACATAAATCTATGAGACTTAGAAAGTTTGGAAGCCAAACCATCCACAATAAAACACAAAAATCATGCTGTTTCTACAACATAAAATAAAAGCCCACGGAGGCATTAAAAGAGACGAGTGCCACTTTTATTAAATACTAAATTTGCCAATTTAAATTACGTTTCAACACTGTTAACCTCTCGACTCTCTTCCCCCTTCTCGCTCCCTCCCATCCCTCCCCTCACCCTGACCATTTCCCCCCTCCTCGCTCCCTCCCCTCCCCTCACCCTGACCATTTCCCCCCTGCTCGGGTCATGACCCAACTGTGCAGCGCCTTGGGACGTCCTCCTGACGTGAAAGGCGCTTTATAAATGGAATCTTGTTGTTGTTGTTAACGGCAGAACACTGCAGGGTGAAATGGCCTTCTCATTGTCAAGCCCTTGACCACTCTGGATGCTTAGCTCTGATAATGAAGCATTAATGATGGTAGTTACAGGGAAACCCACAGCCCACATTTTATCCCCCGCCCCTTTCTGACTTTGTCGAGAGGACATCTCAAAGTGCTTCACAGGATTTACAGTGAAGTGTAGTGACTGTATATTTTGCAGATGACCGGTGCAATGTCGCTGCAAATAACCCATCTACTTAACCATATATGTGTAAAGGCGCATTTCTAAACATGTGCCTGCCTGCTTGCTTCCCTGTAGGCTGTACATCAACAATAATGCATGTGAATGTATGTATATGTGTGTGCATGTATTTGTAATATAATTGATAGCCGGAATGCATTGACGTATCCTGCTCTGAATGGTTGCTGGGGTTTACATTAACCTGACCTCTGTCCTTGAAATGAATCAATCCCAGGATTCGCATCCCCCCGGAATGCTCTGCACATACTCGGTACCACTCTGGTGTCCCTTGCTGATGAAACTCAGAGCAAACTTTGGGTCCTGAACGCTTTCTCAAAGAATTCTTGACTTTATTTGGCAAGTGGCTGAACTGAAACGTCTCCGTCGTGGAAACTGGGACTGAAAAGTCTAAACAGCTGCTTTGATTTACGACCGTATAATGAACCGTTGTCAGCTTGGCTTAGACTATGAGAGCGTTAGTGGAATTTTTGTACTCCTGGTCTGTTTACAGAAACCAGAATTTATCCAAACCTAAAACGCGGGTTCAACGTTTCACTGTCAATGATTTGCCACTGCGTTGACGCACAGGCAAACTGCACGAGCCATGATTGGTAATTATTCACTTTTACAAGGGTTGGCACCATCACCAAGTATTTTCAATAAAAAAAAAGTGGTTAAAGATACACATATAAACCAAGCTGCGATACCAAAATATAGCAGCTCGCCAGGCCTATAAACGAACAGAGATTCTGCTAACTTCAAAGCTTCAATGGATTTACCTTGTTATTAATCCGTTCAGTCATTGGGTTTCCTAGCTTTCATCTGCTACTTTATTTGTTGAAGTACACGGTCTCGAGTCTAGTGAGGACTCATCACATTCTTGTGGTGAGAGAACTCAGTAAAACAAATGTTTAGTGCTCTTTGTACCTTCAGAAGTTCAGAAAGTTAGCGGTTTTAAAGCTGATTGGTCTTGTACCAGGCGGAATTTAGTGTCAGCCTGGCTCAGCTGGTAACGTTCCTGTGGCTACAAGCCTCCACATCGGGAATTCGTACTCCCAATACAATGCTGGGGGGCTTGCTACATTGTCGGAGATGCTGTCCTTCGGATGAGACAGCATCAGGGTCAACAAGTTTAATAATGATGTTTCTAAGACTGATGGTTCACATTAGTACATTTTAGATGAGATTCAATGACGGTCTCTCTTCCTGCACAGAGATGGACCTCTTTCGCCTACATCTCCTGACAGCAAGTCACTTGTCCGTGCCTTCAGCAGCTCCACTTCAGCTTTTATAATGGACGAACGTGTTCAGCTCACGACAGGACTGCAGACACAGGAGCGCCACCTCTTCCTCTTCAGTGATCTGTTGGTGATCGCCAAATTAAAGTGAGTGTTTGGGCCGCGCTCTTCGGTCAGTTCCAAGCGACTTCAGTTACGATTCTGTGTTGAGATGAAATAAGTCAAAGAGTCAAGAGATACTGCAATACTTCAAATGGGTTGAAGCAAGCACTGTGGTTCCTCATTCAGTTCAGATTGGTAGCTGTGGGCGACACTTTAAGGGATTCAAAAATAATAATTTGGTCACTCAATCCACGACTGTTTGTGAGATACTGCCGTGTGCAATTGGCTGTCACGTTTCGTGCACAAACGTCACACTTTACAATATATTCTGTGAAGCGCTTTGTGGTGTCTCAACGACGTGATAAGGCGCAATATCAAATACAAGGATTATTATTGTATTATTATATTTCTCAGGGGTTACTGTAGATGCTTGTGACAATTCTTATCCATTATTTTGTAAAATATATTTTAAAAAAAGCCCTGAAAGAACAAAAAGGGGAAATCACCAGCTGGATCTGTTCAGGCTGGGTCTTTGCAGAGGGTTCGGTTCACAACAAAGTGTGAATGAGGCCAGTTAGTTTATAGTAATATTGTTGTAGCCAAAGCCAGTGTCAAGTGTTAAGCTTGGGTAATGCTTTAATAATAATAATCCTTGCATTTGATAGAACTTCTCAAAGCACTTTGCAGAATTTACTGTAAAGTATGGGGACTTTGTATTTGTAGACAAGTTTTGCATTAAATGGGGATAAAATAAAATAAGGAGTTGATAGACGTGGATATGTATTTTTTTCAATTGCTTGAGGACTGCAGTACATGAACTAAATAACATCAAGGTTGTGTACAATATATATATATACAGAGAGAGAGAGTCGGAGATGGGCTTTCCTGACATTGAATATGTGTAAATAAACACTCGGAGAGAGGAAGGTCTATTAAAAATGTTTTTGAGACTATTTTCAGCATTTCCTTAATCATTTCTGAAAAAAAATTGCTATTTTAGCACTTAACATTACAGTTAGCAAATGGCCAGTGCAGGCATGATCTCTTGCTCTATCCTGTGCATTAATACTGCTTTGGGAATACAAACTGAGACTTTAACTAGCACCCACAGTTAAACAGCGAACAGCGACTGAAGCTTTCTGTAGATCTTTTATTACCACCCATCGTAATTTATCCTAATTGTGAGATAAAAAGACTTAAAAAGTATAGCTTGAGATATTCTTGTTGTTAACCATTTATGTACTATGGAGAGAAATTAGCACCATATCATAATGTGTTTGTTCTAATAATTATCAAAGTAAACGCAACAACAGTGCCGCAAGTTGTTGTTGAACTCTTTTAGATTTCAACCGGAGATTCCCTTTCTCAATTGACACAGATTCTCTACGAGCTTAAAGCCGAAGAACCAGATCAGACTGTGTGAGATGTGGACTGCCTTCTGCATCGATGAAGTGTGTGAGAGGAAAATGACGCCCGAAAATTCCTTCGTCATTGGATGGCCCACGACTAACTGCGTGGTCACCTTCAGGTGAGTGAAGTGAGGGAGTGAGCAGAGGGGGTAAGGGGTTGTAGAAGTTTGTGACGTTCCCTTAGCATTCCTCGGAGGTTGCAATACTTTAATGGGGACTCCAAAGCAACTTTGCTTCTACTTATTAGATCTCAACTGCATCTCTTTCAGTTCTTCGGAAGTGAGAGAGAAATGGCTTTCAGCACTGCACTGGTAAGAATTTTTATTCACATTTAATTGGTGGCATTCTTGGTGCGATCCTAACAAATGATATTGTTTCCTGTAGTTAAACTACAATCGTCTTCTCCACTGCACTTAGCTTGATAAATCTGAAATAATATAGAGAAGATCATTAATTACAGCGTGGTCACTAAATTACAAAGCGGACACTAAATCAAATGTAAGGATACAATTTTTTTTAAAGTCATTAAGATTATCTACCAGTAGAACAAGTTGTTTCAGTCCCACGAGATCCAGGTAGATTACTGAAATCGAGGTTGACTTGCAGTTTGCAGTGGAGACATAGTAATCACAAATGTTCGGTCTCTCTACAGGCAAATCAAAGAAATGAAGCTGGATGAACTCCGAAAGAAAATATTTATGAAGGTTACAGTGATGCCAGCTAGGAGTTGTACCTGTGTAAGTATTAGCACTTATATGCTTCATTTTATAGATAAAAAGAGCCATTAAAAGGACCTTTCGTATTCCTTCCTTCCCTTCAGAATGTTCTGAGTACTTTGGCTAGGTTTATAATGATAGACTACGTTATAGTGATATTCTAAAGATAGACTTTTGATCCAAAGATGTTGTCTAAGTGAGGAATCTCTAGCATGAGATAACTGCAATCTATAATGTAGCTCTACAAATAAACAACAATAAAATGATGGGGTGCATTTGCGGTGATCGATAGTTCTCACGGGGAACAGGTTATCGAACCCGCAGATTTTACCCCTCAACAACACTTGAATAAGCATTTCACCCTCTTTAATTACTGAGCGCAGAACACAAAAGGAACTTGCTACACTCAATTGGTATCTGCCCTCGGTCCTCAAAAACACATCCTTGTCAATAATTATTGCGTATTGAATTGATGTGAATTGAACGGTTTGTTTTTCATTTTTGTTCTCAGACATTAACGCTTTCCGTGAGCAACACAGATACAGCGGAGAACATCATTAAAATGGCAACAAAGCAACTGGAAGCAAGAGTGAGTTACCAATAGATTCATTCTCACTCTTGGTTGGCGCTAATATTAAGCCTGTGTGGTTTATACTGCTTGTAGCATTTAAGATACGCGGAGGGCTTATGACAGGAGTTCATTTTTAATGGAATTCTAATAGAAAATCACTGCGTTACAATATAGTGAAATCGTTGCCTTTTTTTTTTTGCGATCGCTGAGGTTTAGATCCTCCCGTGTGCACCTTGCATAGTGTCTAGGTTTAGCTGAGGACAGGCAACCTCCTCCTCCCTACAACTGATACCTATCGTTCTCTTTCGTTTGAAGCACAAGCAGGGGAGTGTTGGTGACTACCAGCTTTGGGTGATTTCAGGAAAAGAGGATGCCCCCTACCCACTCATTGGTAAGTCTTGTACCTCGGCTGTGATTTTACAGTGGTTTGCCACGCAAAGAGGTGGGCCTAAAGAAAGCACAAGATTCGACTATTATAACAATAATAATCCTTGCATTTGATGTAGCGCCTTATCACGTTTTCGAGACGTTTCAAAGTGCTTCATTTATTCCTACTAATAGAGAGGGAAGGATGTCATTTTGCAAGGTAGCCATGGAACGCTGTAGCTCAAAGGTCCTCATCCAAATTGGAACACACAAGAACCACTGGATTGAATGGGACTCAAACCAAGGTTTGTTCTTGAAAGATCCAGCACTGACACAATGGGCTGAATGGCCTTCCTCTGTGCTGTAAATCTCTATGGTTCTGTGGAAGAAGAGCAGACTTCTCTGAAGGTCAACTCATGGTCAGTTTTCCAAGTCCAGTTGGGATTGTCACCAAATCAACTTGACTTCAAAGTAGCTTTTTGGTAACAAGGACTTGACCACACCAGAGCTCAACTGTATATTTATAGAGCAGCAGATGGAGAACTTTGGAGTATGGGAAAGCACTCATTGGATCAACGCCAAGAAAATATGACCGACAAGATTGAGGGTGGGTGGTCATGTAGTTCTTGACATCACAAGCTAGTGCAGAGGCCTGAAATTCCTCAGCCCTGGACCTGTCTTAACCTCTATCTGTCTTACAATTCAAGTTCATGCAGAGAGGCATTTTTTTTCTGCTGTTCCTAACATTTACCACCTGCTTCCAAATTAACAATGAATTTTCCACAATCTGTGTGATCTTAAATTTGAAGGAAAAAAATGGTCTCATCCAGGTCCAAGACTGGATGGAATTTTGGAACCCTGGTGCCTTTTCTCTGGTCCCAGCAGCTCATTCAACTTATTTTATTTATCCCTCACAGTGGTGAGTTTCAACTTACAAGTTTTCTTTATTCAAAAAAAAAGCAGTCACTTTTTCTTTGTAACATCTCAAAACAACACATGGTTACAGAATGAAGAGTTTTGCCCACAAAACACCCCATCAACTCACTTCACAGTATATTCGGTGAAGCACTTTGAGACGTCTCGAAGACGTTATAAGGCGCTGTATCAAAATACAAGGATTAGTAGTAGTGGTAGTAGTAGTAGCATTATTTTAACAATTTATTGCAAGGAACGGTCAATGTCTTTTAAAACTGAGGACCCATATAACAACGTGTTGCCGTGGTTGGGTTTTGAGGTTGAGGCTGGTGTGATCAATAGGGAAGATGAGCAGACCGTGATGAACAACATGTTGGCCCACCGAGGTCACAGCGGAGGATACAAATCCATGGGCCCTGACAAGCCAGGTGTCCTTGGCAACAGATATCCAAACCTCATAGTTCACAGCGATATAAAAAGTCAGTGAAGAACGTTGGCCACATCACGTGTAAATACTTTAAAACTGGATTAGCGGTGTGGCTAGACTTACACCACAAATAGAATGGTATGTAACTCCCCCACAGGAAAGCTAATGGTAATCTCTGCTATTTAGTAGAATGTCTATTTGTGCCTTATGCTGTATTCATTACATGCAAATTTCTGTACGTGTAAAGGTTCCTTCTATTGGGTGTCTTTCTTGCTCAGGGAAGGAACCTCTTTCCTACATTTAGGGAAGATGTACTTCAGGTTGACTATTGGATTGTGCTAATTTTCGGTCTTTATTTTTACAATCAAAGTTTGGGGCTTTCACGTTTATCATTGCCAATTCACGGAATATGAAACTGAAGAACGTAACTCTGTCGCAAAGATAGGTCCCCATTAAAGAGACTCAAGGACAAACTGATAGTATTGCACAGTGGCAGAAGCAGCAATAAAGTTATATTGTGACTCATCAAGTTGCTTTTTAAGTGAGTCCAGTGTCTTGACCTCAACCATCCTTTCTGGCAACCTGTTCCACTTATTAATTATTCTCTGGGTAAAGGAAATCTTCCTCGTATTTGTCCTCAAATTGCCCTTTGAAATTCTAAACATTTATCCCCTTGTTCTCGTGCCTGGTGCATTTCTCCCCCACCCCCACACAAAAAAATCCATTTGAGAAATAAACATGTAACCATCGTGTTTATTGAGAAATAAACATGTAACCATCATGTTTATTGAGAAGTAAACATGCAACTCTCCTGTAGCCATCCTCCCCAACTCTGGCAATTGCTTTGTCTTTGATGTCCCATTACACAAAGAATAGTGGAAATCTGGAAGTTTCTGCCCCAAAAGTACTGGACCCAATTGAAATTCTCAAGACTGAGATGGAGAGATGTTTGTTAGGTAATGGTATCAAGGGATTTGGAGCAAAGGAGAGTAAATGGAGTTGAGATACAGATCAGGCATGTTCTAATGGAATGGCAGAACGGGCTCGAGGGGCTGAATGTCTACTCCTGTACTTCTGTTCCCGAATTAATGACTGATTTATGATCCCTTCTGTATTTCAGGGCACGAGCACCCATTCAGCATCATAATGAACTGCCTGAGAGATGTTGCCGCCCGGTTGGAGAGATCTGACAGCTACGTGCAGTCACAGGATGGCCATCGAGACATCCCCTTCGAGCAGCTGTCAAAGCGCAAACAATGTCAGTTCATCTTGAAGCCGAGACCGCAGGCTGATGTGCACGTGACCAGAGGTGAGCGCAGACTGAAAGAATCCAAGCCATTCACTGGGGGAAGTCTTTGCATTCAGCTGTTTCAGTAATCCAGCACAGCAGGAAGCGCACTTCACATCTTTAGGCAAAGGAATAATTCTGCCACAGTTCGGTACCGGTTTATTTTTTCCACAGTCGATGATGCAAGCGTGACAAGCGATGTTTTGTGGAATAATTTAGTTCTACCACACCCTTGCACTAACACGCAATGGTCTGTTTATGATCAGGCCTGTTCCACTTCACGACCCTGCGCCTAATACTTTCCGGAATTAGGTAAGCAGGATGCGACCCTCCAGGGAGAGAGGGAGATTCCATTCCAACAATCTATCTCTGGAATTTCCATGTGTAGGCGGGATGCATGGAATTCCCAATCTGGTTTGGATACTCTTTAGCGTGGTGATGGATTTCTGTACGTGTCAGACACCTGCCTGACCCCCCAAAAAATTACTGGCACAGGTTCGGTAGAAATTTATTAAAAATTACAGCACAGAAGAGGACCACGCGGCCCATTATTTATGAGCTGGTCCTTTGAAAGAGCAACCTATTTAGTTTGCTAAGCACCTTTACCCCAGACCCCTGTAAATTACTCATTTTTAGATATCTACCCAGTTCCCTCTTGAATGCTAACATAGATCCTTGGGCTTCAACAACAACAACAACAACTTGCATTTATATAGCAGTCACATTGGGGTGTAATTAAGAAGATTCTTTCAGATAAGTTTGCTTTGTTGGTACTGGGAAAGAAGATACATGTTTATGCATTAGGAGGGTTATTATTTCCTGTTGCTCTGGTTAATTGCTGTACTAATTGAGATGCTTTAGTGTTCCTTCACTGAGGTCAGGCTATTTATGGTATCCTAGCATGCAGACTCTTCCTGCATTTGACTGATCTGCTGGGTGTATGTGATCCAATCATTCTCTGTGAAAGTGTAGTTTTTGGGTCTCTGTGTGTGATAGGGATCTTTTTTTTACAGATGACATTTTGAAGATTAGTTTCTCAATTCAACAGCCAGCAACTTGCCGGTTATTACTGCTGTATATACATTGCTGAGTGCAAATTTGAATATTGGAAAGTTTCTCACCCATTCGCCTGTTACTCTTCTGCCACCTGCCCTGGCCTTACAATTATCCCTACACTTTGAGAATTGTTAATACAATAATAAATGCTTGGCACGTTAAACCTTAGCCATAATAGTCATAATCTGATTTTTTGTTTCTTTCTACATCTTTAGTATCTCTTCCGAAGCCTCTTAAAAAGAAGAAGTCGTTGATCAACTGGGCATTCCGCCGTAGCTCTCACATTAATGCTGACAGCGACTCTCAGTCGGGATCTCCGATAATTCCGAGGAAGCTTTTTGGCCTCTCGCTGCCCTCCATCTGCAAGAACGGGACCCTCCCCAAGCCCATCAGGGTAAGTGGCCCCTTTAGAAAGCTGCATGCTCCTCAGTTTGGTGGTCACGAGAAAGAGATCCCCTCTTCATCCAAACCTGTTTTGTGATCTTGCGCGATACAGCCTGCAAAGTGACCCTTGCGCGTGTGTGTGTGTGTGTGTGTATGTGTGGTGCCCATGAAGGGAGCTTTGTGTGTCAGTCCTTTCGGCAACCAAAGGAGCTTGCAGCACCACTTGTTTGCTTGCCCCAGAAAGGAGCGTCAATTTTGTTTCTCTAGAGTTTCCGTGTTAGTGACGTGCCAAAAAAAATACTGACTGGCTGTGGGAGCTGTGACACATTCTGACCTGCGACGCATGTGGTTTCCTCCAGGACATGCTGCTGCTTCTATACCATGAAGGTCCCGCGACCAAAGGTATCTTCAGGCGCTCTGCCAACGCCAAGACCTGTAAGGAGCTGAAGGAGAAACTGAATTCTGGAAGTGAAGTGCACATGGAAATAGAATCTGTCTTTGTGGCAGCTGCTGTCATCACGGTATTATATTCTGTTCAAAAGTCTTGTATGTTTTTTTTTGATGGTGATGGTGAAGGGCGAGTGTGTGGGGGTTGGAAGCTAACTGTGTTTCTCGTGGAAGATTTTTTTTTAACACGTATAAATATTTTCTGACGGGAGATTACTTTCCTGCGCAGGATTTTCTCCGTAATATCCCCGGCAGCGTTCTTTCGTCTGAGCTGTACGAAAGGTGGATGGAAGGAACGGAGAACGAAAACGAAGAGGAAAAGATACAAGCCTTGAAAAAGTGAGGGCAGTGCCTCTTTGAGGATGTAATTGTGTGCCTAAGCATCGATCCGAGACTGACTGTGTCACTGTACGTGCGTAAGGTGGACAGTAGTGTTGCTGGATATGTGATTCCAAGCAGAGAAATACTATGAGTTTAGAGATCTTGCTGTTTCCAAACACTGGGTCTGCGCTTAGTGATGGAATAGTAACGGGTTTCCCGATGTCTTGCAGACTCGTGGAGGAGCTTCCCGAAGCACATCTTCTTCTCCTTCGTCACTTGTTCACCATTCTCCATCGCATCGAGAAGAGGTCTGAAGAAAACCAGATGACGGCTTTTAACCTGGCTCTTTGCATAGCCCCCAACATGCTGTGGCCCCCTGGTCCTGTGGACCCAGAGGAAGAGAGTAAATCCACAAGAAAGGTAACCCACCTCTCTTTTCCTGAATTCTACAGAACCGCAAAGTTCTGTTACCACCCCCCCCCCACCCCCCACCATGTTTCTTTTTCTACAGTGCACTGACCAACAACTGAAACATGTGGAAGAATGATGATAATTGTATTTAAAAATACTTAATTGTATTCAGTACAAGACGTCCAGGGGATCGGTATGATAGCTTTCAATCCCACGCTCTGGGTAACACCTTCCAGCCACTGTCAATGGCCCAATGCTCAGAGAATCCTTTACAGCCTCTTCACAAAGATCCACCTTTGGTCCGATGGGGAGAAACTTGGTGATTTTAACTCAGCGGAAAAGCTTGACCGCATGTGCGCAATTACACTAATGATCATAAGTGTGTGTAGTTGGGGAGGATCCACATAGATCCATGTATATGATAATGCGACTGTGATTGATCTAACAGTACAGTTTGAAGTGTAGATGTACTGCATAGTAGTGTGACTGTGATTTAGTTTTTTTTTTAAAAAAATGAATGGTATAAAATATACTCTGCGGGCAAACAGAAACGCAATACCGTATTGTTGCTGAGTTTGGGATTTCTTGGTCTCTCTCAGGTGGCCCTGCTGGTACAGTACCTGATAGAAAACTCTCACAGGATCTTCGGTGATGAAGTTCTTTTACTCTTTGCGGGATCCACGGACGTTCAGCAGGAGAATCTGGAAGATTCGCTGGGTCAGTGAAATCTCCTCATCGCTGCTGCTTTTTTTAAAAAAAATTGTTATTATCCATTTTAACGCATCGAGTTCCTTTTTAAATGAGTCCAGTTTCCTGGCCTTAATCAGCCTTCCTGGCAACCTGTTCCAGTCGTTGATTATCCTCTGAATAAAAAAACATCCTGAAAGTAATTATCCTGAAATGGCATTTACAACTCTAAACCTATATCCGCTTGTTCTGCCTCTTAGCGAATCCTAAAGTATTGACCTTGCTTTACGGTTTATGTTCCTACAATCTAAAGGTCTTGTTTTTGCCTGGTGTCCTCTGATCGTGAGGTCCTAATCCTTCTCTTTATTTTTCTGATGTTGCAGATGTTGATTCGCTGAAGCAGCACTATTCCTCCGATGACATGGATTCCCCGTTATCCGATCAGGAGAGTAGGAGGGTCAAAAAAGGGGAGCAGAACGACAATATCTTTATCGCCCTTAATGACTCTTTGCTGGATCCTGACGAGGAGATGAAGGAGACGTGGAGTCAGCGGAGCTTCTTTGACGATGACGACTCGTGCAAAAACGTTCTTCTGGAGAATAGCGATGGTGCCGATCTTTCCGAGCAGCTGGAAAGCGAGTCTCTTTATTCCTCGGTCTCTTCGCTTGTTGGGATCCAGAGCATCCGGTCAACGCGAGATCGCTGCTCGTCGGAGCCCAGTGTCTGCCTGGCCCACCACCTGGCCTTGCATCACGAGCCTGTCGCCCGCCAGTACAGCTGTGACGCCGCCATGACTCATGGCCACATTGATTACCTTCAGCAGCTGAAGAGACTGCAGATCGAAAGCCAGAAGCTCTTAGATGGCGGGAGGGGACCCGGCTCAAATAAGACCAGATATGTTTATTTGAGATCCCCACAGATTAATCCTAGGCTGATACAGCCTAGTTCATACAAAATGAATCTATCGACAAGATCAAGCTTATCCAGCCTATCTTCTCCCACCACATCCCCCTCCGAGTCCTCACTCAGCTCGGTGGACAGCGCCTTTTCCTGTTCCGACTCGTCCGTGTTTAGCCGGAGCGAGACTGTGTTCGGAAATTCCGGGAAAAGCCAGGTGTCCTCACCTTGTTCTCCCAATAAAATGCCCGGCAAACTGCAGGGAGCCTCCTCGAGCTCGATGGCTCATTGCCTCGACGACGTAGACTGGTACGACGAGGAAGCAGAGAGGGACACAGACTTGGAGGCTGAGCGGGAAGATCTGGCTCAGGTACCACAGGGTTCAGTGTCTTGTCCAGAGGGTCAAGGGCTCGTCATGGACACCCAAAGCCAAAGGAAGGACGGGGAAAGCTTCACCAGTGTGGCTTACTTCCAACAGGGCAAAACAGGGACTTCATTTGCCCAGAACGACACAAAGGAAGCTAGCAGAGGGAGCTGCTGGGAGGCAGAAAACAAGGCGACTCGTCCCAAAGCAGCCCAACCGCTCGCCTCGCCCGACACACAGGCACCCTGCAGCGAGGATATGAAACGCACGAAAATAACCCTCTACATGACGCCAGGGAAGGTGCTAACCCTCCAGCACGGAGGAGATCCGGATGGGCAGGAGCAAGGCAGCGGTGGCGATTGTGAGACGTCAGCGACGCAGGACAGAGACGGTCTGAATCGACCGGTGCAGACGCTGAAAGTCCACATCCCACAAACTGTCTTTTATGGTCAGAACGCACCGTTAGTCCTCCAGTCCGCCACGCGCAGGTTAAAAATTGCACCGGGGGACGCTTTTCTAAAAGGGTCGTCCGTGGATTCTGTGTCCCAGGGCAATGAACAGTCGCTGGCTTGTTCCGTTCAGTCCGTGTGTCCTCAAAGTTACCGGGACAACCCGAACAGCAAACGGCACAGAATCCGCATTATCTTACCTCCGCCCGTCCAAACCACGGTCCATCAATACTTCCTTCAGAACGAGGCCCAAAACTGCATGAGGGAGGCGGCAGGGGTGGAGAGCGAGTTAATAAGGAGCAGACAAGAGTGGCAGAACCGACGGTGCACTGACTCCCAGTTAGAAGACTTTGAACAATTAATTTTCACAGAGGAATCGTATGTCTGAGAAATGTATATCCCGCAGATGTTCTTTATTTTACTAAGTTATGTGTATTGCAACTTTCAACCGCACACTTTTAGACACTACTACTGCTCCAGCGTGAATGGCCACGTATAGGTTGTCATCGAGCACTCGGACTCTTAATACAGTAAAACTCGCATAAGTCCTACCTTTTTAAAATCTTACAACGGACCAAGTCATACATGCTCTCAAGTCCGTCCCATTCAGTTTCCCATCAAAACCACTTAGATTTCGTTGCACTTATCACATTAATCATCCTCTAAATCATAACACCGCACCCCTATCCTCCATTACTACCACATGTGCACTTAGCAGCTCTGCTGAATTACATGTGCAGTGTAGACGATTGATTAAATCAGATTTTATATGGCCTGCCTGTAACTCGGATTTCACTCGTAAGTCATATTAAATCTTATGGTCCCGACTGATACGACTTATGTGACCTTTACTGTATTAACACAGTGCTTCTCACTCCGAACCTTCCTGACCTCAGCATGTGTGTGTTTCACATCGATCCTTATCCTACACGTTACACAGCAGATCATCTATGGGGGCAAAGAGGTGGGGGGTTGGGGGGGGAATACGGAACGTGATGTTATCACAGGTGATCATGTCACACTCTGTAGTAACCCCCTCCTTCCTCCCCCCCGTGCTTCAATCTGCCTTAAACCTATCTGTTTGATTCTAACACCTGACATTGAGCCAACATGTTATTCCTTGAGCTGTTTAATTTCTTTCTCATTTGCTGCCTCTGCTTCTCAGGAGAGCTCAGGGTGCTGAGAGCTCACACCTGATAAGCCCCAGAGGTAGGTAACCCAGCCTTGTTATCTGTCGCTTTGGTACATTCCGTTTTTTGTGTATAATGTTTGGATTTTTATATAAATATATACCAAGGTACACGGTTTTGTCCCTAGAATGTCCTAGAAGATGTTTATACTTTTTCTTTCATTAAAAAATATTGTTTCATTTGTCACTGCACGAACAACAGAGGCTGTTGCATTGTACAATACTGATTCAAACTGTAAACGATTTGCCAATTGATTTTTAGTCCCAACTAATAGTTACTTTGATCACATTGTATTACTCAATGCAAAGAATTCTATAGAGCACCCATATATCTATCGACTACATCTGGCAGACACTAAAATATTTGCGTGGTTTTTTTTTAAAAAAAGGTCGAAGCCTTTATTAAAGTGATGAATTAAAGCAACGTGCCAATACAGCGTAATGCTGGATAGGAACCCGTCAGAGCTGTGCTTCGTATGTCTTCTTGTGATTCAGATGTAATCGTTTATTACAGTGGCCTGGTGTCTGCATGAGCATTGTGAGCTGGTGTGCTAACTGGAGACTGGGCAGACAGCTGATCCACCCACAGAGCATCTCTCTGCTTGGCATCACAGTCAAGACTTCGCATTTATACAGGGTTATTCCTCGTGCTGTTTCCAGGTGTCGAAAGTTCAGGGAGAGCCAGAGCTGGCTTGGCCCCCAAAAGGATCTACCGGTGCAACGTGAGGAGCAGGGGAAAAAAACTCCTTTCATAATTGACGACTGACATCACAGCAACTCAAGGCAGGAGCCATATCAGCTGTCAATAGGGAACCAGTTAGATATCTGAACGGAGTAATTTGCATGGGGGTGGGTGGGGGGGGGTGGTCAATGGAATTGAATGGGCTTCTCTCCCAAAGAACCAGCTGGGCCGACTGGCTGTGACTTGTAACTTGGTTATCATTCGACCCACAATACAAAGTTGCATCCCCGATGATTTTTTTTTATATATATATATATCAATAGCATTCTTTCGCTAAAACCCTCTGTGGGGGGGAAAAAAAATGCTTGAACTTCACTTACACGTTTGTTACAATTGTAAATCTGAGGACCACATCCTCTGCCCCAGTGAGATAGCCAAACAAGGTCGTCAAAACGGCCGCTGAAATTTTGTTGAAATTGCTGACAATCTGTGAAACTGACCGTTTATAACTGGTGGCTGTTTTAATTGAGTTTACAATTGTAGATCAGGTACTGTTCGAGGTTTAGTAGTAGAGAGAGAGCGAGAGAGAAAGAGAGCAAAGGGTTCGTACTGATGGAGACACCAGGGAGAGAAAGACTTTCCACTGTGTGCGTTTTGTGGGGGTTGGAATGGCATTGTGTATAATAGGAGTTTAGAGAGAAGAGCTAGTATTTTTGGGGTTCTACAGTCCCATCCTATCTCCTAAAGGAAGATGTTTTGGGGCTAGTATAGTACATTCTATTTGGTCTAATGACCTGATACCTAATGCACTGTTATTCCTTTCTATAATTGGGGCTGGTCCCAATCAATGTAGTTATGGAGCTCTCCACTGTTTGGCCATCCCATTGCGTTGTGTCAAACCAAAATAAAAATTTGCACGGGCCTTTCAGACGCACTCCTAAATTGGAGTGAATTTTCTGGATGGAAATGTTTCATTTTTGCGCTAATCCCAGATCAGCCGATGCCTCCTGATAAAACTCACGGACGAGAATCAATCTCAACTCTTTTTATTTAGGACTGAGCACACTGAAGCATCATCTACAGCGAGCACCTTCACAAGAATTCCTCCGCTGCCGATTCAACACAGTTGAAACCTCGGAAAAAAAAAAGTTAATTATTAGGTGGCGAGTGTGGGCATTTGGTGGGGGGGCTAAGGTATGTCTTAATTCCCCAACATCTGGGAACAGCACTATGAGCTTGTGGCAAGAACTTCCATTCGGAAGTAAAACATAAATTGGCCACCGTGGATTTAAGCACAAGCCACGTTAACTGGTCTTAGGGGATCAGTAAGGGTTTTATTTCTATTTTGTCGAGTCCCACTGAAGTGCCAGTAGACGTGAGCCTGTCCCGTGCTGTAAAGGGGCGATCACCTCTTGTTGATGTACACACAGAGCTGTTCGTTGTTGGGCAGCTGTGGAACATCTTGTTGTCCTTTTCTGTGTAACTGAGTTGTTGATAACGAAGGAGGGCTTATTACAATAAAACATAGTCACGCTAAACCTTCCACACGTCTCATTTGATGCAGCCACATTCTTTTACACCATTGGTGACTTGTCCTGTTTCCCATCAGTGTTGTTAACTGGAAGGATTGCAATGGTTGCTGGTATTTTAAGCATCTGTACCAGCAAGCGCGCTTGGCATTCCACAGCACGTACCTTGGGTTCAACCTTTTTTTTCCATAGATGGTACAACTTCTAAAAGGATCGTGGGCTGAAGCTGGGGAAGAGTTGCCACTCGACAGCCCTTGTTCTATCCTTGAGAGGACAACAAAGTGGAAATAAGAGTCCACTTCTTAAACCCGGGTAGGGGGGTGAGGACTTAACCAATGGCTATGGGTTTAATGGAATTTTCCCATTTGTTGATCGAATCCCAACAGGCTGGGGATTTAATATTCCTGAGGTGGGGGAAGTAACCTCCGCGATAAGTGTATTTACCAGGTAAATTAATCCTCTTTCTTCCCAAGTGTTGTCAGGTGCAGCAGAGTAGGGGGTGGGGTGGGGCAGCTCATTGTGTGAAGAGTTTTAGGACATTATAAACCACTTTATCCAATGCAAGTACTTTTATATATTAAAGGGAGAGTTGTTCTTTTGTCCCTTGCAAAGCCACCCCCACCCCCCACCCCCGTCGTCGCATTATTGTCACATTTCTGATTTGCACATTAACTATTGACGCAATTAATAATAATAATACTCCTTTAATCTGATGCCGCACCTTATCGCATCTTCGAGACGCGTCAAAGTTATTCAGCTTAATCTGAACTGAAGTAACACCAGCGAGAGGCTGATAGAGAGGATATTCTACAAAGTGAATTGACTGTGTATTTTGTGGGCAAATTAATGTGAAAACTGGGAAAACTGCACAAAGGGAACAAAATGATCTCCCCAGATCTCGGTAACTTGGCGACAAAAATCCTGCGAGGAGCTTTGAGACGTCCTCCTGACGTGAATCCAAAGTAAGGAATCAGCATTGTCGAGAATTTTTTTCTAAAAACCATTACTTCCGACAAAACACAGCAGACGGTGCGGTTAATTGCCATTTCGTGTATTTAATGAGAGAGCGAAAGAGAGAGAGAGTTTAATAGTTGTGAAGTTGTAAAAGCTTCACGTAGTAAATGCAGTGTAATTCCCACAGACAGAATGGTGACTGGTATTGCGTTATACTGCTCCCTGCTGGTCAACTAGACACACACCACAAGTTTTCAGAACAGAAAGCCCCCACCCCCCCCCCCACCTTGCAAACACACCGCACGATTGATCCATGTGGTCATGAACCGCACAGTGCTTTACGAAACCTGACATCCAGGTCAGCGTTCCCTTAGTTATGCAGCTTGATCTGAACTGAAGTAACACCGGCGAGAGGCTTAAAAGAGAGCCTAGAAAGAGACCTTTTCGTCAACGGCACGTGTGGCCCGAACTGTAGAAACAATGTCAAATCATCACACGCAGAAACTCTTAACAAGGACCAACATCGACACAGTGAAGAACGTCCAATGCTCTTGTTGGGTTTGTTTCATGGCGATCAGCAGCGTTGCTTAAACTGGTTCTGCGCATTGTAGAACTGTGACATATAACGGTGACGATTTTGTCACCGCCAACCAAACGTGAAGGGGTGGGGTGGGGAGCCTGGAAGCCATACCAGGGAGGCTCTACTCTGCATTGTAATAGATTAATCAGCTAATACATTTCCGTGTAGTCGAACCGCATGTACCGGACATTGCCTCTATTGGCAATGGCAGAACTGGATCCTGCTCAGATCTGGCCACACTGGTGTATTATTACAGTGTCCCTCTCTTCAAGATTCTACAAAGGGAAATGGGCAAAGTCGAGCATACGTGTTCACACTGCGCGGCAGGTGTTGGCAAGGCATCACTGCTTGTTCGCACCGACAGATTTCCTGATATCAGCCACGTCTTTCGGTACCTTCACAATCAGTCCCTCCATGGATCTATTCAAGCAGATCTGGCAACCCAGACGCGACCTGGAAAAGGGATGCGTTGGTACTGTGAGAGGAGTGTTGTTAGACATGAGGAGGGTGGGTATTGGAGAATAATGGCGATAATAATAATAATAATAATAATAATAATAATAATAATAATAATAATAATAATAATAATCCTTGCATTTGAGATAGCAGCTGATCACATCGTTGTGACGTCTCAAAGCTCTTCAAAGACTGGAGTGTAAAGTTGTTCAGGAAAGTCACTGACCATTTATTGCTCACAAGATTAAATCGCCTGTTTACTACGGCAACTGTTCTGGCGGCACGCGTTCCGGAAGCTTCTATTTTAAACAGAGGCTTGGTCCTCTTTGCGTTTTAGTTGACAGGTTGTTCCTGGGGTTTCTTGGTCCTGGGAGATCAATCTCTGTATTTTTTTTCATTGAGATAAAAATCGAAATGCGTTCAAATAAAAAAAGAAATGACCTGAGCAGCTGAACTCCACTTCTGCTCAACAGCTTGTTTCAGAAAAAAATGCCACACCCTAGAAATCTGCCAGACATTGTAGGATTGGACCCATTGTATTTGCTCTTCCATTGAACCATCTATCCCAAGCCCAATTCCCTGCTCTTCACCCTTAAAAAATAAATCGGTCACTTCAATCCACAACTGATTGTGGGACACTGCTGTGCGCAATTGACTGCCTACGCTTTTCTCCCACAAAATATACGGTCAATTCACTTTGCAGTATATTCTTTTGAAGCGCTGTGAGACTTCCTGAAGACGTGATAAAGTGCTAGATCAAATACAAGGTTTATTATTATAATGTAGCGTGTTCTCGCCCACATTTAATTTGTGTTGAAAAGAAATGAAAAATGCAGCAAGAAACAAGAGAAAGTAAATCTTCTGTAAAATGTGTTGAACATTTTCTCTCTCTCTACTGCTTCCTGCTTCTTTGAGGGATGCCTGTACTTTGCTTTGTCTAACGCTACACAGTACAGTATTTAAAATAACTCTACACAGATAATTTCAAGGACTCCCTGCAGTATTTCAATTATAGCCGTGCTTAAAGGACAAGGACGAACCTTTGTTACGAAACTGTTGCAGATGTTTGTATTGGAAAATATGGTCTGCGCCGTTTACCTCTTATTCCTGAGCAACTCGACTCTTAATTGAGGTCGATTTTGCATGTTGAGTTAAGTTCCCTGTTATCTCAGTTATTGAAAGAGGCATTGCAAGGACTACATAATAATAATAATAATCATAATAATAATAATCTTTGCATTATCACGTCTTGGAGATGTCTCAAAGGGCTTCACAGAATATACTGTAAAGTGAATTGACTGTATATTTGGTGGGCAAAACTTCACTTTAAGTAAAATTGAGGATCTTGGTGAAATGGAGGATGGAAACAATGTTAGATGTTACAGTGGGTTTTCATGCGACTAATTCACCTTTTTAACAAAAAAAACTGGTCACTTTTGCACGAACAGATTTTTCTATCAGCGAATAGACTACCAATTGAATCCACCCACCTGCCCCTCTTCTCCCTCCCCCTCCCCCTCCCCCAACCAGAAATTCCTGACATTTCCAGGATTTTCAATTGGAAAAGTGGCGGCTATTTCACAAAGCCAATTTGGGTACGAAAGGCTTGATGTGGGGAAACAGGAAACGGAAAATCGTTAATAAGCCTTTGAACATTTTGGCTCAGGCTCACAAACCTGTATAATCCTACTGAGAACCCATCTGGTCTGACCGTGGTTTCAGAGTCGTAGCTGATTAATTCTGGCAATAAACACATGAAACATACTGGGTCCTTTAAAAGCATGTTGCAGTTCAAAGGAATGGCACTGGGTTCTTGCACACAATCTGCATATGGTTCAGGAAACAGCCTTAATTACAAAAGCATCGCTTACGTATCGCTCAATCCATAGGCCAAATCCAGCATATCCATCTCTTCATCCGTGATCTTGTCCAAATTCTCATAGTTCTCCTCGTCAAAGATTAGATGACAGGTTGAGCAGGCCAGGGTTCCTTCACAGGCACCTGTGGCAGACGGACAACTTAATAAATGCAGTTGACAATCGTATAAAATTTTAATTTAGTGTTAATGAATTAACTGGATCAGATAGCTTACAAATACATGCTTTGAGACAGCTCACCAATGTGATAAGGCTCTATATCAAACGCAAGAATTATTATTATTATTATTTTATAGCGCATTTCACATCAGGGGGACTTCTCAAAGTGCTTCACACTGATGATAATAATAATAATCTTTTATTGTAAGGAGTAACAATACAGAAGTTCAACAATCAAGAAGCCAGGTCAATAATCAACAACAACAACAACAACTTGGATTTATGTAGTGCCCTCCACGCCGGACAGCGTCTCAGAGCGCTTCACAGTAACGGATCCCGGGACCGAGCCAGGGGGGAGGGCGAGGGGCCAGGGGGAGGGGAAGGAAGGTGACCGAAAGCGCGATCGAAAAGAAAGGTCTTCAGCAGAGACCTGAAAATGGGAAGGGAGGGAGTGAGGCGAAGGGAGTGAGAAAGGCAGTTGCAGAGCCTTGGGGCATAGTGGCTGAAGGCACAGCCACCGAGGGTGGAGCGGAGGATGAGGAGGACAAGGAGGAGGCCAGACCTGGAGGAACGAAGGCAACGGGTACTGTTTTGAGGAGAGAGGAGGTCAGAGAGGATGGGGGGTGCAGAGGAGTGCAGGGACTTGAATACAAGGGTGAGGATCTTGAAATTGACCCTCTCTGGGATAGGCAGCCAGTGCAGTCTGGCAAGGACTGGGGGATCGGGGAGCGAAGTTTTGTGCGGGTGAGAATGCGGGCGGCAAAGTTTTGAATGATCTGGATTTTATGGATGGTAGTGGATGGGAGACCGACGAGGAGGGCGTTAGAGTAGTCCAGCCGAGAGGTGACAAAGGCATGGACCTGGGTTTCAGCGGCTTTTGGGCAGAGGTATTGGCGGAGACGGGCGATGCATTGGAGGTGGTAGAAGGCGGTGCTGGTGAGGGACCGGATGTGGGGAAGGAAGGATAATTGGGGGTCGAACCTGACGCCTAAATTGCATAATCAATAACCTACAGTACTCGCAGAGTAGCATTGAATCACTGTCTACAAAGCAGGAGTAATATAATATTATATAAATCAGTACTTGGTCAACTTACCATGCACTTGTTTTAATGAAATGCTTTGATCTTTAAAACAATGTCCAATTCAACCTTATGACAGTTGCTGATTTGGTTTAAAACATCACTAAAAAAATGTTGAGCAACAAACTATAGACGTGTGTGTTTTATACACTCACCAAACCCATTGATATCCAAGTTGTGCTTTATAACAACATCCAGCAGACTGTCACCCTCCTTTGCTGTTGCTGTAAGAGTTTCACCGTCTCGGTTGATGAAGTGTACTGTCACCTTATCAGTGAGTTGGCTGCCATGTGGAAACAGGAAAATGAACATTAAAACCCCCAGGGAGAACAAAAAGCTGAATTTTGTACCATGCAATTCACCCCACAATCAAAGGGAACAAAAGAGAATACAGAATGTGCTAAGTTATTTGGCTCAGAAAACCCAATTCTTGCCCACTGGGTCACAACCTTTAGCCAAACTATTTATTCTGAGAAGAAAGATTGCATAAACTCCCTCCCGTTTTATAGATATTTAGTGAAATTCCAGATGACTGTGAAATCACCTCTCTACTGCACCAAATTTCGCCTGCAAAATACACAGTCATTACGCTTTACAGTGAAGCACTTTAAGATACCCTCCCAAAGTGAGAGGCGCCTTATCGAAAATAAGGAATATTGTTAATGTGAGTGAACTAAAAACAGGTGGTGATGAGGAGGAATCTCAATAATCACAAACTTACCTCTGGCCACGAGATGTCAGCGCATGCAGAACGTTGAATGTTATGAACCCGGCTCATTACCCGGGTGAAAGCACTGACTTTGTGGAGTTTCTTTCAGATAATAATAATAATAGTAATAATCCTTGCATTTGATATAGCGCTTTGCACGTCGGGAGGACGTCCCAAAGCGCTTCACAGAACACACTGTAAAGTGAATTGACTGTATATTTGTGGGCGAACGCGGCAGCCAATTGCACACAGCAATGTCCCACAAACAGTCGTAGATTGAAAATGACCAATTTATTATTGTTTTTTGTTTTGGAGGGATTATTATTAGGTTCTGTGTGGAGTAAGGAAACTTGCCCAAGGTTTCGCCCTCTGCCTGGAATTGAACTCAGGTCTCTCGCTTGCAAAGCGAGTGCACTAACCACTAAGCTACACTCCACTCCACGCCATGGTGGTGAATGATAGCACATCAGTATAAAACACCAGTAAACACACATGGGTCTATGAGAAATGTTAGTGAATTTTACTCATAAAACAGTATGGTCGCTCATTGTTTTAGCCTTAAGACCATTTGTTGAAAATTCAAGATTGTGGAATGAAGACAAACAGTATCCAAACCAGTCCAAGGACAGAAAATGTTCACAAACCCCGTGCCTTACAGCTTGTGATCTGCAAATTTCCCCCCGCGCTGGTATTAAGGTTAAGACCATGAGCAATCTTGAGCCTCTGGTGTTTTGCTCTGTTTATTAAGATTATCCTTGTCTCCCAATGAGGTTGGTATCAAAACCCTGACCCGTGCAGCCTTGAAACCAAGGAATGCGTCATCTACAAGGATGCTTGCAAAACATCTCAGTGATTTACCAGCAAACCTGCATGAAAAGGAAATATTCAGTGGCTCTTACACCCTTTGCAATTACGGACTTTGATATCAATTTAGAAGCATGTCAGAGCTCATAAATTTAAAATACTGGGTTCAAAACATGAAAGAATCTCTCTGCGTACTATTAGAAGCTTGCGTTTTCAATGGAGCTCAAGTGAAAATAAATAGTCAATGTGACTGAAAACTTCTGCCAATTATTTATCCAGATAAACTGGTTCCTTGCCACACCAGAAAATCAAACGTGAAGGGCATGAAAATAAGTAAAAGATACTTTCAGCCAGAGTGAAGCTGCTTCTAGTCTTAAAATGAAAGACACTGAACGTTCTGTAGTTATGCAGAGCAGATGCTTGACAGTGTGGGAGATAATTCAATGTAGGAGGTAAAGTGGGAGAAGGTTCACGTCATGTCATAAACCACACCAACTGGTTTGCAGTTTGCATGAACCACAAAATATACATTTTCATTTGCTTACATTCTGGATCAATCTGGAAGAGGGAAGAATACAGTAGCGTTCCTTTACACACGTTGGTTCACCCTTAAAGCGGATGCTGCCTGGACCGACATCCAGTCTCCTCCGCTCAAAACACGTTTTTAAAATGATCCTTCGTAGGCGAATGCAATGCTAAATAAAAAGGGCCGTTTTGAAAGTGTGGAAAATAGTTATTTTCCGTAACATCCCACAGGAAAAAAAACAAATCCTACAGAACCCGTTTAGCAAACACAATGGTGAAACTCAATCTCATGTTTCCAACAGGCAGTGAGCACAAATTACACTGACCCATTTGAAATTCTCATGTAATATTTTGAGCGCTGGTACAAATACACAGTCACTCCATTTCACACGGGAATATACAGCCAAAACCACTTTATGATATATCCGTAAAACGCTTTGAGACGTCTCAACGACATGATAAGGCTGTGTGTCACATGCAAGGATTATTACCACTGTATAACCCCTTCCACTTCCCCTTCCTAACCCTAACAACAGCACCTTAGGTCACAGAGACCCTAGAACACAAATCACACCTTCTGTTCATTCTGGGTCAAAGCAGATGTTTTCGCATAAGTGTGAGCCTCACCTGCTGTCTGCTGCAGCGTCACACCGGAGCCCGGACGACAGACTCAAAAGCCTTTTCTGCACCTTCACGGCAGGTTGATCAAAGGGAACTCTTTCCAACGCAAAAGCCCCAAAGCACCGTGTTTGTTCGAAAACCGATCCACGCAGCATTTGCAGCCTGGCGCAACACAGAGTCATCATCTCTGCAACTGCTGGCAAGTCTGGAGCAATTGAGCTTGGACTAGATACGGATTGTTTTGGCTTTGCTTGTGATTTGGCTATGAGTTGCAGATTGGCTTGAAATGAAGGGGGCTGGCTAACCAACATGAGGTGTCCCAAGGTCACTAAGTGTTGCGAAATTTTGCAGGACTATTACCCTTCCTCCCAATTGATTGTTATTCAGCGCTGTTGCTGGAGCTGGCAAAACTCGGGTCAGCAAATAAGAACATCCCAACTCTACAAATAACGCTTTTCACTGACTCACTGACTCACTCACTCCAGAGATAACTTCTCAATGTGACACGGAGTGAACCCAGCATTCACTCCAAAGATCAAAATGTACAAAATCCTTTCAAGCATTAAATTCAGGGTCACGTTTACATACACAAGGCATTGGTCCAGGTTCTTCCCTATTATTGGAGTCCAATCAAAACAATGCACATTTACACATATTAACCAAATTACTGCAGACAATGCCTGTGTTCTTCTGTGAATTCACCCAGCAATACTCAATTGAATCCTAACTTTGAAGTCAGTTTCCTGTCCTGCTTAAAAGAGCTTCCAGAGATACAGATGGTAATAAATCAACATGCTTATTGATTTTTGTTTACCAATTAAGAGCAAAAGTTTAATCTATCCCTCTAAATTAATTTCAATTATAATCATAATAAAAGGTTAGTTTTAACATTTTTCTACTTCTTTCTGCCTCATCTTTATTTTTTTTTAAAAAACAACTCTGAGAATGTAATATTTAGGTACAATTCTTACTTGGCTATAACTTTGCACAAGAGGAAATTTTGCTTATTCAGGGAACAACATACAGAGTTAAAGTTAAATCAGTTAATGAATAGCTAAAAAAAAACTTTTGCTTCAAGTACACCATTAATCAGTGTTTTGTAACAAACAGGGATATTCTTGTGGTTTAGTCTTTTCATTATCTTTGGAGCTTTTTATCATGTCTCAAAATTTTCTCTCTCCACCCCCTCACACTCACACACACATAGTTTCTGCCTGGAAATAACAGCATCATACAAATGCAGATTAAAAAGAATAACTGAACATATTGAAAACACTGTATTTCTATATAGTTCCTCTACAATGTACTAAGTGGCAATATAGCTATAATCACTCACCATTGGGAATATAATTAAAGGCTGTTTAGCCTGATCAGTGTTCCTTCATTTTATTAATCTTTTAATTACATTTCTGTGCCTTTTCCCTATAATATACCTGTCTTCCTTTCGAACATCCCACTTGATTCTGCCTGTACATCCTTCTTGGGCAGTGAATTTCCCATTCTCATGGCTCTCTGTGTGAAAAAACATTATCTAATGTTTCATCTATCTTAGCAGAGACATGTTTTAAGATAGAGTGGCCCAAAGGGACAGGCCCCAGATGAGGTTTTGTCTCCCGGGCACCTTATTTGCCTGTCTTCAGTTTAGCAACGAACTGAGCGAGAACAATAACAAAACTACGCTTTACAGTGTATTCTGTGAAGCTCTTTGCGACGTCTCGAAGACGTGAAAAGGGCTATCAAATGCAAGGATTATTATTATTATTATTATAAAACAGATACACTCATCAGAGGAACACAGCCATTAATCCGACATGCTTCTCCAGTACTGCAAGCATTAGGAATTTTGGCAAGTTCAGTTGTTTTTGTATGAATTCCTGGATTTGTTTTGCAAAATATGGTCACCCAAATTTAAGATTCCACAGCTGCATGCGTGTAAAGGTCATGTGAAAGCAACAACGCAATCTCTTCAGCAAACAATACAATATAAAATTACGTTTAGACAGCGCTTTTCATGTCGGGAGGACGTCCCAAGGCGCTGGACAGTCAGGGATTTGGACCCGAATATGAGGTCCAAATCAACCATCTGAGACTTGTTCAAGATTTCAGAGATTAGGAAGAGAGCGAGAATTTTGACTTCTGCTGACATAAAATCTTTCAATGAACGTAGCGTTTAATCTTCTTATAGTGTTCTTTAACCAAGGTTTCCCTCTTCGCAGCACATTGCTATTTATTTTCTAACTCAGAGACTCTGCAAGTTTCAGTCACCAGCATTCAGCTACTCAGCATCAATAGCCATTACACTGTAATTTATACTGACCCCTTTCTAAAGGGTTACATTCTAAGAGTCTCCTTGAATCATTTTCGCTGAGCGCCTTGGTTTCTTTTGTAGCCATTTTTAAAAAGATAACAACAACAACAACAACAACAACAACATCAAGCGATGTGGGGAAAGAGCTGGAAAGTGAGATTAATAATAAAAAAAAGTATGACTTAAGTCTTAGAGAAACAGGCAGCCATGGCACAGTTAGAATCATAATAATAATAATAAGCCTTGCATTTGATACAGCGCCTTATCACATCTTCAAGACGTCTCAAGGCGCTTCACAGAATATACCGGACAGTGAATTGACTGTATGTTGTGTGGGCGAAACATGGCAACCAATTGCGCACACCAGTGTCTCACAAACAAGTCGTGGATTGCGTGACCAAATTGTTATTACTTATTTAGCCTCCGTAGGCCCCCTCCTTCCCTGTTGAAAAAGGCTCTTTATTGGCAACAGTATAATCTTGACAACAATGTAAATGTGCACAAGGTGAAGAATCAATGTTAGTGGGGTCCAATCAATGAATATTGTTTGTTCCTTAATGGAGGTACCCGTATCTCTCTTGAGATGTTGAGCTGAATAGTGGCACCAATTTCACCTTTGTGTTGCTCAGAAGGAAGTTTCTTTGTAAATCACTTCCTGCTTTGGGCAGTAACCAAACCAGCCTAAAACAAGATTTATTTGTTTGTTACATTCTGCTGAAAACAGTGTGTAAATACATCTATCTTTACTGCGCAGCGAAATGGTCGGGCAGAGAACATTGAGTCCATTGTGGCAAGGAATAAATTGTACATCTTTAAGAAGAACGACAACTCTCTCCAACTCGTGAATGTAACACAAGTACCAGCTAGGTGCAGACAACCGCAAAATTACATATATACATATAGAGGGCCTTTCACATCGGAAGGATGTCCCAGATTTGATGGAAAATCACAGATTATCCATGGCAAGTCTGTTTGTCAGGAACTGGTCAATCAATCGCTCCTTTAAAATAACTTTGCTTCGGTCGTGTGCCTGCTGTCACGCACGTGTCAATCCCGCTTTACACGGACATGGTCTCCTTGAGTCATACGTTTAGCGGAGGTGAAACTCCCTCTCCCTCTCAACGTTCAAAGCCCGCCTCAAGACTTACCTCTTTGACCGTGCTTTCAGGCATCTTTCCTCCCCCCTATCTTCAGCTCGCACCCATCGCCCGGTCGCCGAGTCAGCAGTGTGAAGCACTTTGAGACATCTGTGACGAATGGTGAAAGTGGTTATATAAATGTCAATTGCAGTGTATGACTGCATCCAATGCAAGCGTTATATCATTTTGTGAATTCCAAGGATTGTTCCTTGCCATAAATTCTTTTAGCCACAGGGTGGAGACAGGAGGCAACGAATTCCCTAACACACACACACACACATACACGCGCGCCAAGCTCTCAAAAATCAAATGGTGCAGTTCTACAGGAAGTGGTTCCACCTCAGAGCCGCACAGGATGGATGAGTGGTGTACCTGCAGCTGAACATTTGTGTCGAGGATGAAAGTATGCACAGGTTGAGTCTGCTCAGCGGGTGGCTGTTGAGTTAGTATTCAAGCTCTCTGGGATGCTACCTTTGCGTGAGGGGTGCTTTATAAATGCATGTTGTTGTCGTTGTTGTTGTCGTTGTCGTCGTTGACTTTGGCCAGTCTGGCAGCGCAGGCGAAACAATTGGGGAGGCGGGCGGGAAGGGGGAGGAAAATCAACCCAAGCTCTTGATCGCTATCGGGGCAATGCAACAAAAATGTCTCTGGTGGAGCTCGCCGAGAGTAAGCGTGAGAACAGAATTCATGTTGATCAGTAGCGAGAGGGATTCAAGCACAGTTCAACTAACCCGTCACCATTCGGTCAGAGAAGTCTCTTCATTTCGTAGACCGCTCCATCGTTTTACCTGCAGAGTTCAGTACATTTTGTTGCTTCAAATATTTATATACACAATGTTTTTTTTTTGGGGGGGGGGGCAAATATCCTAAAGTAGTCCTGTTTGTTGCCTTTTTCTTTACGCTGTAATGCCCACATACATCAAGGTCCGAGGGGATACAGGTGCTTTGTATTCTAAGGATACGGGTGAGAAAGCAACAGTAACGCAGGTGGTAATGGATACTTCAGTCAATTCTCCAAGTGCCCAGTGAAAGTCTTCAACTTGCATTGTAACATGGTGAACAGAGAGTTAACTCCAGACTGTACTCAGCCGCCACCTACAGCGATTATTTAATTTAACGGTAATTAAGAGACCATATTGCAGGCTGGCTCTAATCTATTTTGGGGCCCTCAACACAAAGTGTGTTGCGGGGGGGGGGGGGGGTGAGCTTTTAATGAAACTCTTGTACGTAAGAACACAAGAGGCTTGGAATTCCACCTGGCCTCCGCCTGTAAAGGCCATTCGGTCTTAAAATCGGACATCGCGAAAAATTCTGAAATTCAGTCTCGAAAGAGAAGTCGGTTCCTTTTCAAGAACTGAAGAAAATCAGTCGGTTTCCAAATCAGGGAGAAATTTGAGGATTTTCCACAATTCTGCCAGATCTTAAATAGCAAGACAAAGTGTCTTGCCCCAAGGGCTGAGACTTGATGGAATTTAGTTCCCATGATTCACCAAGTTTCTAACCAGTTACAAATGCCCTCTTTGTACTGTGGTTGCAAACTCATATGACTGTGGTAAGGGTCTGTGGCTGGTTCGCAATGTGTAAAAATGATGCAGCTATTGGCTCCCATTGTACTCTTTGTGCCAAGTCTAATATACCCTGGTATTAAATTTGGGGCGCCTCAGATGAGATAACTATTTAATTTCAACCTTCCACATGACCTATTTCCCTCCTGTCACAGCATCAAGCTTTTTCTTGAAGAGTCCAGTATCCTTGTCCCAACACCCCCATGATCTCTACACCAAATTTACACCAACAGTTCTGCTCTAACTAATGCTAGAGACCATCTCAGAATAGCAGCTTTTGTCTGAACCTTTCCTCAACCAGATATCAACAAAGAGGAAACAATCTGTTTCCAGGTTTCAGTAGTTTGAGTCAGCGATTGCACAATCAATGTCTAGTTTACAGTATATTCTGTGAAGCACTTTGAGACGTCTCGTAGACATGAAAAGCTGTATATCAAATACCAAGGATTATATTCTTATTGTAGTTGAGGTTTTCCCGCACGTCAATCCTTATGCTGGTTACTAGGCTGAGTCAAGGGAAAAGCTGGCAAACTCAGCTACTAACTAAACCGTGGTTTTCCATCAGATTGACTTGTCAATTTAATTACTAGGTGTATCTCATCCCAGACACCGCAGTGTAAAATCATTAGCACTTCTCACTTCAGGATAAACCATACCATGCCAAACAGAGAGTGACTGGATTTCACCACACACTGGTTGAATGTAAACTCCAGGTAATGTTAACGCCACACCCTGATGTTAAGCAAATAGAAGGTGGGAGATTTCTGTTTCTTCAAAGTTAACTTTGCTGAAGAGCCACAGAAGAAGTCTTAAAAATGATCCAATTGTCCCCCATACGCCTTTTGGTAAATATAAGTTTGAATGGAAAAATTTGCTTTCGCTTTGGCTCAGTTGGCAGCACACATGCCTCTGGGTCAGAAGGTCGTTGTGGCTTCTTCACAAGATCACAAGAGGAGTTTTGGGGGAAAAAACAGCCCTCAGACACGTTTGATCTCATCCTTCCAGATACCCACCTCCCATGGCAGCATAAAGCTGTTTCTTAAAATAAGATCAATGTCCTCGGCTCAAACACCCTCCCTGGTAACCTGTCCCCAGTCTTTAATTATTCTGTGCAAATGAAATACTTCTTTGTATCTGTCCTGAAATTGTTCTTTAGAACAGTGAATCTGCACCATTGCCGTTTTAAGTCTATGATTAAACTTAAATCAGGAATTGGTCTAAACTGATACTCCACTGCAATACTGGGGAGAGTACTGCACCATCAAAGGTACTACCTTCATCCCTTTAAGCTGTGAACCTCTGTCCTGTCACTTTCTCCTACTCTAGCTAACTCCATTTGTTGTTTGCCTCTAGTCCCATTGGATAATTATAGGAGCTTTCTGTGAAATCATAAAGGGCAATGAAAGAAAAAGAAATGACATCTTTCCAAAATGGGTTTGAACCATCACGACTGGAGCCACAGTGACACTTTACCACTGAAACCCTGACTGAAAGCCTGGGAACAAGGTGGTCAGTCGGGTTTGTGTAGATCAAATCTTTACATCCATCAAAATCAATGTGGTCGGCACCAACAGCCCTGCCTTTTCTCATCCAGCCCCTACTGCCTTACTACCTCAAACTGAAAGTCCTTAATGAAATCTCTGGCACCCAAGGCTGTAGCTGGAAGATTGAAATGATTGATTGATTTTAATCAGATTTTCACCCACACAAACATCTTAAAGACTGGAGTTCACAGCGATGCTCCAAAGTAATTTACAATGTCATGTTACGACTAAAGGTCCAGTTCTAGGATTTAAGGCGTATAATAATAGATTCACATCTCAGTATTCTGCACTCGTGTTTTGCTGATGTTAAAAAGGGAGCCTTTAAACCTATATGTCAAAGTTTACATCATCTTAGCAGGAGTCCTCATCATATCTCTGCATTTCCAAGCTCAAGTAGTGAAAAAATGACAAGTGGCATGGTCTGTGTTTAACTGTGTTTAACGATAGGGATTAATTGACAAGATTAATTTTGCGACAATTCCAATCACTCTATTGTAGATGACACTTGCCAAAGAAAACATAGATAATTCTATCAGGAGTGGGGGATTGGATGATGTTAAAAATGAGTTAGTACTGAAATGGTACTCGAGTCAAGAGCGTATAGGATGGCTGGGGCAATGAATGGGCAATCTACCAACATAGTGGGTTGGCAGATTAAGCTGCATTAGTAGGACAGAATAGAGATTTACTCCGCATCAAGCTGTGTCATACATCAAGTGAATGTTTGTAATGGAAACAATTCCTCACCTTTAACAGGGACAATGTAATTGGAAAACAGCTAGAACAAAGAAGACCTTTTACACCAATGAAAGCTGACTTTTCCCCCAAAAACACAGCAATTGTGTAGAACGCAGCCTGAAGCATTTTTTGATCACAGATGGGGTCACGAGGCCAAAATTGAGCAATTCGTTCTAAGACTCCGCAGGAATCAAGCAAAGAAAGAACTGCGTGATATTTACCTAAAAAAAAACAGCAATCAGTTCCGAGTATGAAAGTCATATTTACTTATGGCCATGCTGAGAGATTCAATGGCCAAATCACACAGCAAAACAGGATTGAAAGGCTGGTCAACACATGGTGAACACCCATATCACTGAGTAAACTCATCTCAACAAACGCAGCTGCCTAAGGAACCACGCTGCAGAATAAATCACCTCCTTCAGGAATGGAGAAAAGTGGGGATGTTTTAAGTGCGAGCCAACAGGCCAGAGACAACAGCAGAGTTAATATAACCATTTATTCTGTACTTTCACTCCTGGTTTCCAACACATTTTAATTTGTCTTCCTGCTATACACACACACACACACACATACACACACACAATTAGCTAATTTTCCTCAAAGCTTGGTGATTTTCCTCATGTCCTTGGTAAAACAGGCAGCCCTTAGCAAAATGCTCAGACAATGAGCTTCAATCCCCTACAGACCCAGCTGAACAGGAAGGCGGTTTAGTTTACAGGTTTGTGTTATTTCGAGCACTTACAGGGTAAGTGCCCTGGTTTGTCTCCCAAATCATCCTCAGTCATCACTGGATTCCGGCTTCCACATTTGCCCATAATCACACTCACTTAATTTCTAATCAAATTAGATTTTGTAAATGTTTATACTGTATTTACGTGAAAGACTCTTCATATTTACGTATAATGACGTAATTACGTATTTATAAGACAAAAGCAATGCCCTCTCACCCCTCACCTTTGGGTGACAGGAGGGGAGTGATTGTTTTGTTCTGTTGCGCAGTTCAATCTAGTCCTTCGTAGCCACTACTTGCTTCCTCTCCTATCAATTCCCATCTCTTGCTCTACCCCTGAAATGGGAGGCGTTTTGATGGATTGGAAAGCGACAAGGTAAATGAATTGCAGCGAGATTCTTCCCATTCCGCAAATCCCGTTCTCTTCAGGAGCAGTATGACAAGCCACAGTGATGGTGACAAGAGCTAGCGACAGTTTCACAGTAGTTGGAAATGTAACATGCAATTTCATGAGGATAACATCAAAGGCAGGGTCCAGCCAGAAATGTCACTTGTGTTTTCAGCTGTTGACTCTTCCAATTGGCAACCCTTTACTGTTTCACAATCTTTGGTCACCTGAGATGAATCATGATGTATACACACACACACACACACACACACACTAGTGTAGTGGAGATAAGGAATCCATCCCCCACTCCAATTAATAGCTAATTTGCATCAGAAAATAATTCAAATCTTTCACAAAAACGGCTTCAATAAACATGAGGGGGAAACAAAGTTTGACTTTATGAAAATTTATTAGCACAAAGGTGAAAGGAATACAAATCCAGAACAGCAAAATATTTTGTTACCGAGATCCCATTTGTAACTAGTTAAATAGCAAATAGATTTCACTAGCAAGAAGAAATTTACACTGGCCAATTTCCTACTTAATTTACAACACAGAATATGAATAAGCAGCGAATGCTAACAAGCTCCACAGCATTGTTAACTATATAAAGAATTGCTCGTTATACAGTGACATTGAAACCAGGAAGATGAACTTTTTTTAATACAAATCAACAATTCTCTTTTAATATAATACTGCGAGTTCTTAATTGATTCTCCTGCAAATTATAAAATGCCTTCACAAGCATCAATACTCTGTGAACAAACAGGTACGGAAAAGAAAAAAAAACTTCTAAATAAATTTGCTCTTCCTACTTTGCATAGATAGTTGTTTTTGAAGTTCAAAGTAAATAAATTGAGTATAATACTATAAGGAAAAAAGGAGAAACCAACTACATAAGGAGTAAACATGGTTACAAACATTAATACAGGTACAGATAACACTGTAAATATAATGTTTTTTGGCATTTTCATTGTTTTTTCCTAAAAAAAAAGTGACACTCAACACAACAGCCCCCAACAGAGTTTTCAATTTTAAATATGAAGTTCAGGTAACAAGATCCGCAATTAACATTTTGTCAAGAGTGCTCACGGACTTAAAATAAAAAGTATGGTTTCAAGCATTCAGTGGTAAGCTGGAAATCTTGATCCATACACACTTCAAAAAGCCAAAGGATAGAGCTGTCCGTTAAAAGGAAATGGCGGTGCTTTTAATACTGCAGTTTAGCCACCCCGCTGGTGGGACGAAATCTGAAATGAACCAGAGCTAAACCACCAAACTGCACGTAATGAGGTAGTAACTGCTCCCTCCCAGGTACTGCTCTCTCTGGATGATTTCGACTAGCTGTGGGGGAATAATCACATCGCTCTCTCCCTTACAGATACACTTGAAATTCCAAAATAAATCCTTTATTAGTAGTACAATCAATATTTTCCACAGTCGAAGTATATGCCGTTTTACAGAATACAAAAAAAAAACATTTTTTTTTACTAATCCTACGAGTGAGATGATGGTCTTAAGGCTACGGTGTATATGCATGAAGCAGAAATACTCGGGATCTTTAAATAGTTTCTATTATTTCCAGCTGTAAAGTTAGTTTCACAAAATCGAAGAGCTTCCCATTTGAGAATTTTAAAAGTGTTAAATTCACAATGGCATGGCAGACTGATGGAGCTCGGGATCTCAAGAGATTTGCTCATTTTTCTTGGCACTTTGTTTAAAATGATTCAAACACAAATTTGAAAGTTGTTTTTTTCACAACTATTTCCTCCCTCCCCCCCACCCGATTCATTTTTGCCCCATTAACTGTTCTGCTTGAACCCACAGTGCAAAAGTGAACAACATCAAAAAGGAAAGAACACTCGACTAAATAACCAATAACCGAACAATTAAGTCACCTAAAGCCTCTATTATTGTGGTGATCTAATTTAGTCATCAATTTCAGTGTAATATCTTATTTTTTTTTAAAAAACAAAATGTGGGCTACAATCTTTTTTTTTGAAAAACGATAGGTCAATATAAGTTAATGGAAATAGTCAAGTTTGTTAGTTTAAATCGTGAAGAGTTGACGTGAGAGAAAAAAAAAATGGCATTTGGGTGGGTTTGGAGAGTTAGGAAATGCAATTCACGTAAGCTTAAAAAGGGACAAGCTCTAAAACAACCATAAGCCAAAAAGATGTGCAACTCTGCAATCAAGGACTACATTTTGTGCTAGACTAGACTTCAGAACTGAGGAACAATCGGATACAACTCTGTTTCTGCTCCAGATTCTGCTGGATGCTGACGTGCTGTAGAATGGGGCTTCTCTGCAGCTTGCGACAAAACCAAATTCACTCCTCTGTAGTGGCCGAAAGCACGTCTCGGAACCTCACATGGACTCAAACTCATCGATGCGCTGCTTCGTGTTGCCTTGCCGGATCTGCCTCAAGGTTTTGTATTTGTCGCGCCCGGCCTTCACGTTCTCCGCGTGCAAGATATCGTTTTGGGTTTTCTTCGTCTCGTCTCGTGCCTGGGCCAACTCTGAAGTCAATGTCTGAAAAGAGAGGTGGAGGGGGGGGGGGGGGGGGGGGGAGAAAAAAAAATCACAACTTTGTCATCGCGATTGGGTAGTGCTTTTAAAATTTCAGCCAATTTGCCCAACAAACTATGGCAGAGTTCATTTAAATCGAAATTTACCGTCTGCAATTCTACTTCCATTATAGCTATTAATGCACAAGTGCTCGATTACAGAAAACCACAAGAAAGTAACATTAACTGGATGTACGGTTGCCACAAAACTCTGGTTCGATTCAATCAAAAGAAGATTCATTCTACGTGATGCTCTCCGGCTCAAAAGCTGGTACTTAAAAAAAAACTTACCAGCAGCTGCCTCTGCACACGCACGTTCTTCTCGGCCTCGGTCATGCGCTCCTCCTCGCTGCGGTCTTTAGTGGTTCCCTCAGAGGAAAGCTCGGCACTAGCCTCCGCACTGTTCTCATCGTGCTCGTCCCCGTGATCGTTCTCAGCCTGCAGGATGATCACCTGGGTGGGTGGTGGGCACGTGGCCGATTTCAGCTCCTCTTTGGTCTTCTCCAGATCTTGCTGCACCACCTCAGCCTGTGACAAAAGAAACGTTCGGAAGTTAATAAGGAGACTTCAAATTAGATTCGTTATCCGATGATTGTAACCGGTAAAAGTAGTGGTCGACACGCTCGCCTCATAAGCCGAGAGAAACCGGGTACGATTCCCGGGCAGGGCGAAACCTTAGGCAAATCTCCTTTCTCCATATGCCTGTTTACCTAGCAGTAAGTAGGAACCTGGTTATTAGTCAATTGGAGGATTGCTTTCTAGAGGTAATAATCCCTCAAAAAAAATGTGGTCACTTAATCCACAAGCGGGACATACTGCTGTGCGCAATTGGCTGCCGAGTTTCGCCCACAAGGTATGGAGTCAATTCACTGAACAGTTTACTCTGTGAAGCGCTTTGAGACGTCTAGATTTTTTTTAGTAAATAATCAGTCGTGGTTTAGGTCATGCCCCTTTCATATCAGGAGGCCATCTCGAAGCATTTCTTCACAGGCTTCACTGTGTAGTGTAGATTTTGTGGTTGAACTCAGAAGCCAATTTGGACACTGCAACACCCCACAAAACAGCCTTGAAGTGAAATTACCAATTTTAGATTTAGATTGTCGACCAGGAGAAACTTCCTTTTCTTTTCAAATAGTGCCAATGGGATCTAAATGCTAAATGAACTCTTGATAACAAGATGATGTGTCATCAATACCGACCGCACTGGGCTGAGTTCTGGTTCAGCTGATGCGAGTGGATTTTGTTCCAAAACCTCCTAGAGGCATTTTTTAGATTTTTTTTTTTTGCAGAGAGGCCTAAAGACATCAGTGTGACGTCTTGAACCCATGGTTTTAGCAGAATTTACTGATTGATGTGAAAGTCTCATATAAAGATGGCATTGTGGAGTCCTGTAGCTCACTGGTTAGAGCACTCGCCTCTCACGAGAGAGACCTGGGTTCATTTCCCGGCAGGGTGAAGCCTTGGGCAAGTTTCCTTACTCCACACGTCTCATAATAATCCCTCAAGAAAAAAAATTAATTGGTCACTTCAATCCACGACTGTTTGTGGGACACGGCTGTGCGTAATTGGCTGCCTACGCTTTTCTCCCACAAATATACAGTCAATTCACTTTACAGTATATTCTGTGAAGCGCTTTGAGACGTCTAGAAGATGCGATAAGGCGCTATTATCAAATGCAAGGATTATTATTATTATTGGAGTCAACTCATCGGAGAATATACTGCAGGCTGGACTGATCCGCTTAATGCAGATGAACCAAGAAGAAAAGTCACAATGGCACCTCTTCCCAAACAGCATTTGTTTCCCCCCAGTTTAAGGCCCTTAAGAGCGTGCAGACAAATAACAACAACAACAAGATTCCATTTATAAAGCGCCTTTCACGTCAGGAGGACGTCCCAAGGCGCTGCACAGTTGGGTCAGGACCCAAGCAGGGGGAAATGGTCAGGGTGAGGGGAGGGAAGGGAGGGAGTGAGGATGGGGGGAAATGGTGAGGGGTGGGAAGGGAGGGAGCGAGGAGGGGGAAGAGAGTCGAGAGGGGAGCTAAAGACACGGTCAAAGAGAATAACCTAGAATAACCTAGATACGCATGTCAGGCATTGCAAATAGAGGAAGCTATTGTATAGCATACAGATCCCAACTATCAGCAGTTTACTGCGAGGGGAAAGCATTAACCCACTCGCTACCAGGTGATGTGGTCTTCATTGAACGTCCCCAACTTGGGCCAGTAAAAGGAGTTGCACTCAATTCAGGTTAAATAAAAGTACTCAAATCCAGAAAGTCCAAAATTTGGAAACCACGATGCACCAAATTCAGAATGGAAATGTGTGAACTTGGCACTATTCCAACAGCTCTTGGAATGGATGAAAAATGTCCAGCCTCACCTTCTTCTGCCATTCAATGGCTTCATCTTCCTTCTTCTGCTTTGTCATCTCCAGCTGGGCGATTTTGGAAGACAGGGCTGAGAGTTCTAAAGCCTACGAGGAAAGGAAAAAGATCCGCAGTTACTTTACCACGTCTTTCAAATGCTGCATCTCTCCCCCACCACCCCTCTCTCTCTCTTGGGGAAATAATCACTTGGTTGGTAGGTCTTTTCTAAAACTCACATCACATGGTTCCTAAAGTACTGAATTCAAGTTAAGATACGTTATCAAGAGCTCCGGGGAGTTGATTACATTAGTCTACTCTTCGACCTCCTCCCTCCCCAATCCACCACCAGTCACCGCCACTCGACTGGCACCGGCCTCCTGCTTGCCCCTCGCGCCCTCCGCTCCACCATTGGAGGTTGTGGCATTCAGCCACTATGCCCGCAAAACTCTGGAACACTCTCCCTCAATCCCTCTGCCTTGCCCCCTCTCCCCTTTTTGAAACACCCCCCACCGGCTCAGGATCAGCCACTGTTAAGCGCTCTGAGACTCTACCCTGCGTGGAGGGCACTAAGTAAGTGCAAGTTGTTGTTGTAGGCTTTTACCAGTTCCTCCTGATTCTTCTGCTGGTTTTCAGACTGCTTAATCAAGGCATCCTTCTCCTCCTCTGCAGCCTTGCGGTCCTGTTCTATTCGCTCGGCCTCTTCCTGAGAACGTTTCCTCTCCTGCTCCAGCTCTAGTGCTCTGCGGGTCTGCTCTTCCAGTTCTAGAGGACGCAAGACAAAACAAGGTTACTTGGGCTCCCGTTTCCTGTGGAACTGCATTCAACTAGGAGTGAAAGGAAGGAGCTAAACCCCTTCTTCATATCGGCAGAAAAATGACCGAAAATAAATGCTGAATAGGCTTTGGAGAAAAGGTCTTGCTTGTAAACAGCAACGACAACAACATTACCTTTTTGAGCTTTCAAAGTTTGTTCTTCAATTTGCTTCAGCTTTTCCATCAATTCATCCTTCTCTCGTTCGATCTTCTCTCTATCTTTCTCTGCCTGCTCCCTCTTTTTCTTCTCATTTTCCAGCTGTGCTCTACACAAACCAGAACAACAACAAATTACACCTACATGGCGCCGTTCACATCGGAAGGACGTCCCACGGCGCTGAACAGTGAAGTGTTTCCACCTGAGCTGAGGATTTGGAATCGAGAGGGTTGGAAGGTAGGTGGAGTAGGGGAGGGAGTGTGGCCGAAGGCAAGGTCAAAGAGAAAGGTCTGGAGATGGGAGTTGAAGGAGGAGAGGGATGAGAGGTGAGAACAAGGAGCAATTAAGAAAGCCTGATGCACATGCCAGGTTGTGGGATCTCCATAATGCCAGAGCCATATTATATTGTTGGGGGGGGGGGGGAAGGGGAGAGGGGGGAATAAAGAGTATGGACAGGTGTGCAGGATAGGTATGACAGTGTCAGACTCCACCACTTTCAAGTGCTCTGGGACGCTAAGGTTTAATCGAATAAGGAAAATAAGGCATCCAATTAAACCAATATATCAATCAACAGGTCCAGTGAATGTGGATACTTGACGCACAGAAGTGGAAAACACTGGAATCTTTTCGAAAGAATAACAAAACAAGAGGAAAAAAATCAGTCTCAATTGCTCCAAGATTCAATATGGCCAGTCCTGGAGCAATGAATGAGGTGCAGTATATAGCAGTTTGCTGAAAAGTGCAGGAGATGCTGAAGAAAGAGGTAGGATTAATAAAAAATCATGAGAAAACCAGATCACAGCAAAACGTGCAAAGCCATAACCCTGACGTTCAAAGGACAACTTTGCTCTTTAATCCCATAAGGATTTCTGACCTGTCGAGCTGTTTCTGGTGCTTCTCCTCTCTGGCCTGGGCCTTCATCTGCTGAACTTCAATAGTGTCTGGTTTACGTCTGCGCATGTACAGCTCGTGGTTTCCCATGCACAGTGCTAAGATGCGTTTGTTAATACGGAGACGGGGTGCGAGGAAGACAAAATCCTGCGAACGTAAAAAATGGAAGATCGGTGACTCAATGGAACGAAGCATCAAATGAAACTGTAGACTATGTCCTAGGCACCAGTGGCTTAACAATGCTATCTGAACACTGGCTTTAAGGTTTCTTCGCCCCCTCCACCCTCTTCCTACGTCACATTCCCTTTTGAGTGGGGAGCCGAACACAGACAAACTAGAGATCCCACGTCATAACAAAGGAGGACGACACTATTCATTCAACGTAACGGCATGTGCCATTCATCGTGCTAGCGCCTTGGGACGTCCTCCTGACGTGAAAGGCGCTTTATAAATTCATTTTGTTGTTGTTGCTCGTTGGCCAAATGTCAAGCAAAATGAAGAGCGTCACTCCCAACCACGGACCTCAATTTGATAAAAAGGCGACTGACAAATCTGGTGGAAAAAGGGTCCGGACACAGGAAGGAAATAGACAGTAGAGCCATTGTTGTGTCTGTAGCAGCGCTGTAAACCCTCGGCATGAATGCTGGTGTTTTATCAGGTAGTCTAGGACTGGAATAGTTATCAGCTTATCTCTCTGTATTAGTTCTATAACCATAAACAAAGTTCAATTAGTAACACTGACATACACACGCTGCCAATATACTGATAAATATAATCCCCCCCCCCTCCATTTTAGAAATTTATCAACTATCAGTTTGACGATCCCATGTACTTACTGGAGCTTTTTTATCAATTGGTTTGATAACAAACTTCTTGTCGTTAAATGAAATGTTTCGAATTTCACTCCACGGGAATCCAATCTTGGGAGTCAACCTTGGTTTAAAATAAAAAAGGAAAGAAAAACGTGTGAGATCACCTGTTAGAAACACAGGAGAAACTGTTCTCCCACCACAAATAAAGATAATTCTTGGGTCTGCAAATAATACAATTATTCTTCACTAAATATGAGCAGGTGAGAAAATCCGTCATACATTTTAAATAATAGATTTATTTTCTATCGTTGGCTTGGTGCACTCTAGTTCATTACAGAATATAATCTAGGGAGGTTCAATATTAAAGTCACTGCAAACAGCCTCCTTGGATGGAAAAGCTATAACTGGACTTTTAAAGCATTGCGATCAAACACACTTGGGAGGGTACAGACTAGTCCACAATGGAAGCAAAGTGAAAAGATCTTAATTCCATGTCGCAGCTTTAATAATAATAATCCTTGCATTTGATATAGCGCTTTTCACGTCTTCTAGACGTCCCAAAGCGCTTCACAGAATAAACTGTAAAGTGAATTGACTGTATATTTGTGGGCAAACACGGCAGCCAATTGCGCACAGCAGAGTCCCACAAACAGCATAGATTGAAAATGACCAATTTATTATTGTTTTGTTTTGGAGGGATTATTATTAGGCTCTGTGTGGAGTAAGGAAACTTGCCCAAGGTTTCGCCCTCTGCCTGGAATTGAACTCAGGTGTCTCGCTTGCAAAGCGAGTGCTCTTGGGATGGTGTGGGATGGCCAATGTGTAGAAAAAGGTTCCCTTGTACTGTCCTGAGGGAGACTGAACTGGGATCCGTTGAGTGTGTGTTGTCACGAAGATTCCACAACACAGAAGCTATTACATAGGTTTCTTCATCATCCATTTAGAACAACTTGCAGTTTTGTCACTCAATGCCCCAAAGCAACACACGTCTCATAATAAGTGGTTTATTTTTGAAATCATTGCGATCGCAAACCTTTTCAACCCGATGCAATTCAAACTGAATTATCGACTGTCAGCTTACACTGCAATTAACGATGACTGGAGGAGCCACATGCTCTGTAAATAAATGTAACCCACGTTTATTCAAAGTGGGGTAGTTTACCTGTCATCGTGCTCGTAGATATTGAGTCCCAGAGCATCTACTCCTAGCCACAGCTCCGAGCCCTTTTTGTTTTTGATGTCAAAATAGTTAACGCCATACATCTCAAGATCCTGAGCAATTTTCAGGTACTCCATCATGGCATCCTCCCTGTCAGTGAAAGCAGGACTCAGTGTTAAAAATGAACTATACAGATCTAACCGCGCGAGGTGGAGGAAAGGGAGAGAAAAATACACAATTGATCTTTGCCGTCTGTACACGTGGAAGATTAAAAGTTCGCTGGTTCTCAACAGGAGAACCCGAAGGGGTGACATTCCTCTGGTCAAAGTTAATCAGCAAAGTGGAGGGTTCATTGAGTTTTGAGAAAGATCTTCTTAATTGACTTCCTTTAATCTGCGATGCGAAAAGGGTTTAACTCGCAAACACTGGCATTACCTGAGCATTCCTCGGTGCTCCTCATGCCAGATCTGGATCCGGTCCTCCCACTGTTCTTTGTTCAGCTTGTGTTGTTCCAGAACACTGAAGAAGACAGAAATATAAACAGTGACATAGAACCTTACTGTAGAACAGGCAATAAGCTCCCAATCCAGTCTGTATTTCATTGGAATTACATAACTATTAGATATTTCAGCCACATTTACAGTACACCATTAATCTTATTCAGATCAGCAGGATCCAGTAGCTTTTTCAATTAAATTACATTCTGTGCAAAAGTATTAGACATGTAATACAGGAAATAATTTAGTTGGTGGTGGGGTGACTGTTTGAGAAATGCCCAAGGATCGTTGGTTGACCTGCCCACCCTTTGGCGTTCCGTTAGTTAAGGAAACTGGAGAGCTGTGAAGAAAATTATCCTTGCATTTTGATGTAGCACCTTTCACTTCAGCAGGAAGCCTCAAATGTAATGACTATTTTGGAGGCCAATGTGGCAGCCAATTTTGAATACAGCACTACAAATGCTCATATCCATGCTCAAAGTCAGAGAACGGCATTGGAAACTGAATGAAGCATTTCAAAAATGGTACACAATAATAATAATATATTGCATTCACGTTCGCTTACAAAAAAAGCAGCAAGTCGTGTGAAATGTTTCAAAACGTCCTCCTGACATGAAAGACGCTGTATCAAATACAAGCATATACTATTAAATAATGCCCTCAAAATCCTGCTACAAGTATGCTTAATGCCCAGACACAAGCTTCGGAAGGAATTTGGAAAATGTTCTCACTCATGTTTTAAGAGTCTAAATTTGTTCATAATTTACAGAGCAGTTTAACAATTGCACGCGATAATTAGGGGCTGGAAGCTGTTTATTGTGGCTCATCCCTAAAAAGAAGGGAACTGGATTGTGTCCAGGCAGCTGGGCACTTCACCACAACATTCCTGGGCACGATTTCTCAGTCCCCGATTTGTCTGCATCATCACAGCGATAGGATTACTGCACAGAAAAGCCCAAACTCAGCTCATCCAAAAATCAAGGCCACTGACCCATGTGTGGCCAGGACTTGTAATAAAAAAAACAGCATTTATGTTTTCTAGTCTAACAACAACAAAAATAAAAGTGGTCTTGACTGTTCCCAGATACAAGGTCCCACTACTAACTTACTGTGATCAAGTGACCCATGTTGAAAACTGAATTAGAGTCAAAATAGGAGGATTCAGGACAGAAAGAGATTAATCAGGTTCCATGTGGCCTGGGAAGCAAAGCAATCCTCGACGTCTAATTTGCCTTTGTAAAAAAACTATATAAATCATACAATCAATTCACTTTACAGTATATTCTGTGAAGCGCTTTGAGATATCTCGAAGGCGTGATAAGGCGCCGTATCAAATGCAAGGATTATTATTATTATCCGACTCTGGATTGAATTTGCTGGCATTGGGCGACAACACGATCAGACTCCACTGTGATGTCCAACCGCCTGATGGGGCCAATCGTGGTCTGGGTATTGGGAAGAGCCAGCACCTTGGATAGGAGAAAACGAGGAGCCAGGACTTACCGCTGGGGGAGAAGACGATCGTTTGTCAGGTAACCCGCTTTGTGAGCATCTTTGCTGAAGTCTCCGTGTTTGACCTGCACCGCGTAAGAGGCCAGCAGCACCGCGGTCTCCGGGGGACAGTAGATGTCGTCGTTCAGAATCCCTTCCTTCACTTGAAGGAAGAAGAGGCGCTGGGTGATCTCCTGAATCAGTTCCTCCGACACGTCCTCGGGGAAGAACTTTGCTCTGAACTTGAACAGCAATGGGCTTTCCTTCCGGACGTCTTGCTGAGTTACCTGAGGAGAAGGATTGAAGTCAAAAGCTGAGCAACTCGGATGATTTAGGCCGACTAAGAACGAGGAAGGGTGGTGGGGGAAGGAGGAGGAAAACTCCTCTGCTACCTGGAGCTGTAGTCAAGGCAGAAACTGTATTAGCTTTTTAGTGGGAATTATATAAATATCTGAAAAGAAGAAACAAGGGGCAAGGGAAAAGGTTGATAACTTTCAAAGTATCAGCCCAAATAACCTCTTTCTGTGCTGCAAGTTACTATGGTTTAATATATATAAAAAAACAAATCATTGAAATAAACAGCTTACAACTTTGATGTTCCACATTTATTCATATGAAAAAGGTCAAGGCTTTACTGAGCTGGAACCTCGTCCTTTGCGGATAGACACACATCTGGTTAATGAACCCCTCTAACACAGCACGGCAGTGCGTCGATCAATACAGAGCTCAAATATGGTTACAAACCTTCTTGTTAAGTTTGAGCCAGGTGGAGAAGCCCTTTGTATCTTGGTACTGAAGCCCGAAGAACCAGACCTCACGGAGCCCGACTGTCTTCACAACCTGGTGTGGAAATAAACCAGAATCAGAGGTGAAAACGGACATAAACAGCTCATGTCAAAGCTCACAAAGAAAAGCTCAACTCCTAGTACAGGACTCAGGTACAGCACGTGAAGTTTAAAAACATACTGATCAGATTCAGATAAAATAACCAGATTGAAAGAGTTACGAGTTTACAAAGCACCTTTTATATCAGGAGAATGTCTCAAAGCACTTGACATAGTGGATTGGGAATCTGAGCTGGAGAGGGCGGGGAGAGAAAAATAAAGGCGTCTGAAAGCCCGTTCAAAAAGATCTGCCTGCAGGATATTCCAACGTGTGTGTATAGAGTCAGCAGAGACCCTAACATTGGACTTATTGTTCCTGGGTAAGTGTGAATTTCCAAACCTCTCACACGAGCATTGCCCCCTCAGACCCGACTCTGCCAATTGTAACCTCATGCTCACTTCATGACACAAAGTACAGGGAAAGTGAGCGGCAGCTTTTGCAGTGGTTGTCTGGCCTTCCTGGCAACCAGCTGTCTGAAAGATGGTGCGCCTTTTCCCTAACACTGTAGGGATGAAGGTCACCTTGTGGTCCTGCATCTTTTCTACACATAGAACAAGTCACAGCGAGAGATCTCTTTCACATAAAGCTGACGTCAGTGTATGGTGGGGGGGTGGGAGGGGGGGAATTTAAATACCAAGCTTTTGATCTCGTTAGCAAGCCAGTGGTGTAGTTTTGCAATAGCAACGGCAGGGAAGAAAGAGATAAAAACTGAGAAAGTAGTGCCCAAAGTTCCTTGGCAGACTAATGTACAAACATTGTCTTCCATCAGTGTCACCTTCACATTCTACTCACTACAGTCCAGGGTCAAACAGCTTAAATTCTCATCCCCGATATTCAGTTATATTTTCTTGAAGTCGATGTGGTTGTTTTTTTAATAAAAAAAACAATCTACAGGAATTTGCCAAAGCTCTTGCATCCGGTCGAGTGGAACAGTGAAGGGGTTAAGAGGGTGGACTCTGGTCTATCAAGGCAGTTCAATGCTCGCTCTCATTCCACTTTCACAGCATTTTAATTAACTCTAAAGTGCAATGACCTATGCAAACGCATCGCATTCAGACATAACACAAGCGACTGGAATGTCTGGTCAATTTGGCAGCTTATTACTAATATTCTTGGCTGAAGCAGTCAGCAAAAGTACCAGGCCTTATTTGGCCACAGGCAGATCTTTGAGCTTGAGGGACACTCCTAATGGAGGCAGGAAATGGTTAGCTACTGTGTGCAAAGAGGTATTTCTTCACAATGAGGCATTAGTCAACATAGTGAAAAAGGTTTGTTACAATAACCTTGGCACTTTGCCATACCCCAAAATAGTCAATCAGCTAAGAGTCACTCATACGCTCCCCCTCCCAGACACCAAAGCTAAGTTTTTCTGCTGGTTGGCATTTTGAAGGCAAATCATTAAGGTCAGCAAATAAGGTGCAATATCCTTTGACAAGCTTTGCATTACCAAGTGTATGTGGCAATTTAGTGGAACTTTCCAGTTTGTGAACTCGATTATGGCCACGGAGAGCCATATTAAAGAAAAATCGGAACTGAAAGTGTTGGGGAGTGAAGCAGGTTGGTCAGGATAGAAGCAGTTTGTTTTATTAATAATAACATTTGATATAGCACCTTATCACATCGTTGAGACGTCTCAAAGTGCTACAGAATATATTGTAAAGTGTATATTTTTTGTATACTGTATATTTTGTGGGCGAAATTTTTTCCTTTTACAATTTGTTGGGACTTAATTATGTAAGATCTTACACATAAATACATGCTCCCTGTCTTTTAACAGCAGAGAAAATTCCCTAATTATGTGTGGGGATTTTAAAAAAAACATATATATTTAAATACATTTTGCTTTTGCGTTTTTGCACTGGAGCCCAGATAATACTCTGAATCAGGAATTTAGTGATTCGGAGGTATTGCTCCTGTCATTATGAGCCTGAGTTAGTAGGTTTAATCCAGTCTGCAAGATAAAATTAACATCCCATGAAATCCATAGCTTTATGTAACTGAATGCGTAAAAAGACACCGGCTATTAGCAAAAACCTGGAGGAGGACTGTCATAAAAACAGAAATCAGCTGATAACACTGAGTCAGAAGGCTGTGGGTGGAAATACGACGTCAGGATATCGAGCTCATAGACTAGGCTGACAATCCCAATGGAGTGCTAGGGGAAAACCTGCATTGTCAGAGATGCTGCCCTTTAGATGAAACAAATCAACCAACCAAATACCACAGAGTTAGACCTCAGCCTCAAGGTCCCACCTGCCCACTCACATGGTTGTCAAAAGGTCCTACGGCGCTAATAAAAATGGGAGTTTTTCCTTTTTGGTCCAGGCCAACAAAGCACCCCCCCGCCCCGCTTCTGGGACATTGTCATGTGCAAATCGGTCTCCATGTTCATCTAGAATTGCAGTAATTACACTTCACAGAAACTTCTGTGAAGCTATTCAAGGCACTGATATGACAAAGCAATTTATAAAACTGATTATTACCTGTAATTTTCAATTTTTTTTAAATTCTCCTTGGTTTATTGATATTATAGGCTTTCCAACACCTTTGCTGTGTACTGTAGTACACGCTGGAGATTAAAGTCTTAAAGTCTGGTAGCCAGTGCCCGATAGTGGGGATTGTCAGAAAACCCATTACGCAAGTGGCTCTTATTAATATTGGTGTTGATACACAATTAGTAATTTAAGTACCAAATGGGTTTGTCTCCGGATCCAATGGACATATCTACTCATTCCCCAAAAGTAGAAGAAAGGAAGGCGTGGAAAGAAGCTGTACAGGAAGGAATTTCATCCATGTTCAGTGTTTCCCATCAATGATGAAGCTTCAAGATATTCCACGAGGAGTGAGATAATGTGCAAGCGCAATTTGCTATCGATGATCAAGGTGACACACTTTGAGATGTTTATCCCATGCAAAAGTTCATGTATGTTAAAAGGTTATTCCGAGTTTCACATTACGTCAGTTCTACCGTCAGCTGAAGGCACTCAGCCACCCTGAAGCAAATTACCACGTAGCAAAATTAATTATGGACAATTCTGTACTTGTTCCACATCGCTCCCTCCGCTCCTCTATTCTGTATTAGAATTGGAATTCTCGCTGAATCACTTCCTGTGCATGTGGCTGCATTCACATTCATTTCAAGTGTACACTTGTCCGCAACAAAGTGTGCTAAGTTGGAACGTTTGTCAGTTCAAGATCATTTATGGCTCTGAGATGATTCACATGAAATGCTGGGGTAAAGCTACATCAAAGGCATTCCCCTTTGGTTGAGAGGTTAAACTGAGATGCTATCTGTCTACTCATGTGGACGTTAAAGATACCATGTCATCAACAGAAAGGGAGTTTATCCATCAAAGATCTCTCCTGTACATTAGGAACCCACAAAAGGCCCATTAGCTGACAGCTTATCCTTTGGTTTCCATGCTCTCACGGTTCCAACACTCCCAATATCTTTACAGACGATAGTCACTACTCCTCCCTGAATTGATCCACACGCTCCCCGAATTCTCACCAAGTTAAAGAAATTAAATCTCACTGCAAAGTCTTCAACTTTCCCTGAACCGTAAGACAATGAAGCTTATTTTACTTTCTTTCCCCACGTACAATCTACAGGCTTTTAAAAACTAGACTTGGCACAGTCTTAACAACTTCGACTGAATTTCTCTGCTGCAATTATAAATAATTTGTCCTTCCCCCTCTGAAGCAAAGTTGCAACATTAAAAAAAAGCCCAAAAGCTGCTATTGAGCTGTAAAAACAGAAGCACCGAGTCCCAGCACCACCCACGGTCCTGCACCTCTCCATCAGGAAAAATTCTGTTTCCAATAAGGGAAAGGCAGAATTCTTTGGAAAAGGAACCTTGGGGATGGAGAAAGCGGGATATAAAACAGCATCACCGGACTACTCCCCCATTCGCATCAGGAATTGTTCGATTTTCTGGCAGTGGTGGGAGTGCAGCGAAACAGAAAAAGGAAGAGGTGGAGAAGGGAAAGGTCAAAGCCAGATATATCCAGCACTGCTCAATAAGCATTCTTCCTGAGTGAGCTGCACCAGAGTGGACGTCCCAGCGGTCTGCAATAAACTCTCAACTCTGAAGATGTCAATTCAGATATTGTGGGGGGTGGGGGTAGAAAGAAGAAAGAGGAAACACTAAATCCTGTGCTGAGCTAACATAGGAACAAATACAGCAGCGTTAGACCACAGACTCAAGCTGGACTGAGAGTTTAAAGTCCTGATGTGGAGCTTCAAACTACAAGCTACAGATTTCAGAGGCGAGAGTGCTGCCGAACTTGACAATTCTGCTACTCAGACAAATGTGGTTAGTGATGTATGTAGATGGCAGCCTCCTTGAATACTAAACTCTCTGGCAACAGGTACAGGCACGAACAGGAATCAATCATTCCACATGTGGAGTCCCGTAGCTTAGTGGTTAGCACGCTCGACTCACAAGCGAGAGGGCAAGGGTTAAATTCTTAACCCTCCGGAACATCGCCAGACTACGGCACTACCTCACCCCTCACGCTGCGGAAACCCTGGTTCACGCCTTTGTCACCTCAAGGCTGGACTATGGGAACTCTCTCCTCGCCGGCCTTCCCGCCACCTCCCTCCACACTGCAGGTCATTCAGAACTCTGCAGCTCGTGTACTGTCCCGCACCAGGCTTCGGGACCACATCACTCCCACCCTCGCTCGCCTCCACTGGCTCCCCATCCCCCAGAGGATTGATTTCAAGATCCTCATCCTCACCTACAAGGCCATTCACGGCCTTGCTCCCTCCTACCTCTCCAACCTACTATCCCCCTACCCAACTGCCGTACCCTCCGTTCCTCCGGCTCCGGTCTGCTCCACGTCCCCCGCCCCAACCGCCCTACCATCGGTGGTCGGGCCTTCAGCCTCTCAGCCCCGAGGCTCTGGAACTCCATCCCCAGTGCCTTCGCCGCTTCCTCCCTCTCCTCCTTCAAGGCCGGTCTCAAAACCTTTCTCTTTGACCGAGCCTTCAGCTCCCCTCTCGACTCTCTTCCCCCTCCTCGCTCCCTCCCTTCCCTCCCCTCACCCTGACCATTTCCCCCCTCCTCGCTCCCTCCCTTCCCTCCCCTCACCCTGACCATTTCCCCCCAATGCTCGGGTCATGACCCAACTGTGCAGCGCCTTGGGACGTCCTCCTGACGTGAAAGGCGCTTTATAAATGGAGTCTTGTTGTTGATGTTGTTGTTCTTGGGCGTGGCAAAACCTTAGGCAAGTTTCCTCACTCCACACACCTCTGTTTATCTCGGAAGAAGGAACCTGGTTATTAAGTCGATTGGCGGATCACTTTCTACAGGTTATAATCCCCCCAAAATATCACAATATATTCTGTGAAGCTGATGTCAAATCATGGGGGAAGAGAAGTTGGTGAAGAGTTAAACTTGTCATCTGTAAAAAAAACTTGGAAGTTGTTTTTTTTAAAAAAAGTTGAAAGCATTTTTTTTTCTCTGGCAGAGAACACTTCCAATATGTAAAACTAGTTGAAGCAATGTATTAAAATACTTTAAGTATGGGACCTAGGTTTCAATTCGGGCTGTACTTTGGTTAAAACGGGTCAACCAATTTAAATAAGCTTCAGTCAACTGAAATTTTTAAAAAAAGGGATTTGTTCCTTTCTTTACACTGCCCAAAAAGGTCACAATAAAATTTACAGAGCGCGGGAAATGGCAAAGCTCCTCTTGTTCTGGGGAGAGGGCTGCCAATGAAATGTCACCAGGGCAATTCAGGATCCTAACCTCATCCAACTGACTTAACCGATGCCATGTGTGGAAACATTTTTCATTGATTCATACAAGAGGGTTGAGGGAAGGGTGTAGTTACTGTTAGCTCTAGACAACACCCCCTCCCCACCTCCTTCTTTTTTAAGACATGCACTTTACGGTATATTCTGTGAAGCTCGTTGAGACATTGCAAAGATCTGATAAGGCGCTATATCAAATGCAAGGATCATTATTATTATTATTAAATAAGCCTAGTAGGTTCCTCTGCATCACACTCCATTATTTATCTGATAGGAATAGCAAGGCAAACAGCTGCCAACGCATCAGTCAATGCTTCTCGGTAACAAATCCTCAAAAGTTGGCCACCCCCCTCAAAAAAAAGCGTAACTGGCTTCACTTTCTCTAGATACACCCAGACCAAATGCAGAGGGGGAGGGTGGAAAGATTGAGAGGATAGCTAAAATTTCCCCTCGATTGACAGCTCTGATAACAACCCACAAAGGAAGGCATAAGTTATTATCACAGATGAAACAATGGAGCGGCTCAGATGCCATTTCTACAACAATGCTTCACACGTGAAATCTCCTGGATCTCACAAAGTGGAGAAGGTGTTTTTTCTCGGTTGGGAGGGTGGGGCGCAGAGGAAAATGCCAACTACTACTACTAAAAAAAGTTAATTTACGAGGGGTTAAAAAGGGGAGGTTGGCCCGTAGGAATCCTAAAAAGGTGCGGATAACTAGGACAGCCGTACAGTGTAGCGCTTTCAAAGTTCAACATACCTGATCAAAGAGCTGTTTGCCGGTGGTATTCGGTTGGATGGCAAACTCCAACTCCGCGTCCATAGTGGTAACCCTCACATTGATCTGTTAACAAGGAGAGAGAGAGAGAGACTTACATTAAGTTTGGTTAATTTTAAAAATGCTTAAAGTTAAATGTAGTATAACTGTTACATTCCTCTTCCTGGCAGCCCAAAACATACACCCACAGCAGTTTGTCCATTAGCATGTTGCATTTCTTCAGGGCATCAGTGTAGATACGGTTATAGCCACATTCACTGCATACGAAACATCGAATGCCATTTCTGAGGAGGGTGTGAACAGTTTTGAGGCTGTAAAAACAAAGGCAGAGCAGCCTTTTGGGATGCCTGATCTCTGGGGACCAGATATAAACGGAAACAAAGAAAATCACTGTGGCCGATGTGCTTCATAGTCTCTGTAAAGTACTTTGGAACTGTCCTGCCACCCAACTTAACTCCATTGGTAACTGCTCATTCGTGGCACTCTTATCCAACGTGTAAGGGTACAGCACAAGCGGAAATGGACTGTAACGAGTAGGGACTGGTTCAAAGATTCATTAAAAGACTGCACGTACAGAGCACTAAAATGATTGTCTAGTAAGTGTGCACTCCTAAGTGGCATTCAAAGGGAGGTTTCAGATTTTTAGGAATTAGAAATAGTGGAACAAGTTTAAAAGCGGCCGAGTTTGGCTACTTGTTATATAAATGTATTTATAAAGAAAGGTTTTTTTTAAAAAAAGGCTTCTTTCCTGCCTTGGGAGTCAGACAAAAAATTGGGGTTTAAAGGATTTCATTGTGACCTTCGATGTGCTGACTTTTATATCAAAGTAGATTAAAGTGAATGTGACTTTGATAGTACCCAGTGCCAATGGAAAGCAAAAACAATCAGTTGAAACCTCCATCTCGACTGACAACTTAAAATGGCAAGGCGTGCTTTAGGCTAGACTTAGCTGAGCTACCGTGTATTGCAGGAATTTTCTTTTTTTAAAAAAAAATCAACTGAATGGAAAATACAATCAACTGTGAAATGCGAAAATTTCAATTAACAAGGACTTTTTAAAAGTTGCTGGGGGTTTCATCTGGTATGAATGCAGATACAGTCAAGTGTGAAGACTTATGTAAAATTTGTATTTTATATTAGTAACTTTTAATACATTACAGGATTATGGCCTCAAAGTGGCTTGCACGCAATCGGTCAATGATTACAAACTTTGCGACACATCAAGAATTAATCATTTCCAGCTTGTTGTTTTTCCTCCATTAGACTATCATTTTATTATACCATTCATCAGAATAAAAACCAATCTGCAGCAGCAAAAGGCTTGTCGAAGTTCAGATTGACCAGAGGAGAGTCAAGCAACACTTTTTGGCCAGATGTGGTCAGTGGCTCAGTCAGAAGTCATCAAAAGATCATGTTACGCTGTGTGGATTTCAAGAAAGCTACTTTAATAACCAACAAACATAACTGTCCAATTCTCTAGAGATCACTGATTTTTTTAAAAACCCAGTCTCAATTCATCAGCAGAGGTTACTTGCTGCTCCACGTCAGAAGGCTCTGGGTTCAATCTCCACGTTGGGCACTTCGATCTCACAGTCTAAGGGCCGACACTGAGGGAGTTTCTTTCTTTCGTTTTAGCCAAAAATTGGCCAAATAAAGCCGGTCGCTCGCTTCATGGCTTGAACTCACAACCTTCTGACCCAGAAGTTACAAGAGTGCTACCAACTGAGCCAAGCTAACACTGAAGCGACTCCCAATTTACTTGGACGCAGTTAATAGAAATAGGTTCACACGTTCAGAAGTCAGAAATAATGGGTTCCTTGTTGGTGCTTTTAAACCAAAGCTGCAGCTGCAGAACAGCAGTGAGTAAAACACATCTGGACCATCCTACTCTTGGCCAGCACTCAAAATGGCAGAACGAGAAAGAAAAACTATAGTGTGAAGAAAAGATTTTATATTTAAAAATCAACCCTCCCCATTACTTGACTGGATATGGCTGGCGACTGTGCAACAGAACCGCTCGTGTTCCTTAAGCGGACTGACTAGTGCAGACACGCAACAGATGTTAACAGTCGTTAGATGTAGATGACACTGCTCGGTAAATACTTTCAGTTCATGGAGGACTTGCAGCAACATGCATTGCATCGACCTGCAGAGCTGCTTAAATCAACGAGGGCACTGCATTTCAACTTTAAGCAAATACAGTAACTAGTCATCTATTGGAACATGCAGGTACCAACTAATAGACAGATACCTAGCTGATGAAAAGTTTCCTTTACCCTTTTGATTAGAATCTCAAGACTAGACTGGAGATCCAGTGAAGTATTGGGGGTGGGGGAGTGAGGGGTGGGGGGGGAAAGAGAGAAAGGGCTGTATTGTCGGTGGTGCCGTCCTTTAGATGAGACATAAACAGCGCCTGCTCAGGTGAACACTAAAGATGCCGTGGTGGGCGGGGGGGGGGGGGGAAGGGGAGAAAAAAAAGAGACCAACTGATTTAGCCTCACAAGGCAGTCACTTCACTTCACACAGCTATCAGGTTAAAAACAGGAAACGAAAAGCGAGACTATTTTTATTTTACGTCTCTTCAGCTGGTGTCCCTGGGTGTGAGGGGTAATGGAAGGTAAGTGAGAAACCATTTAACTGCAGAGCTAGAATTAGATTCTCTACCCACACGCTGGCCAGATTTCCTGCTCAGGGCAGGATCAGTAGTTCTGCTGGAGTTAATTTGTTCAGAGAAGCCTTACGTTTCAAAATAGTGGAAGGCACAAACTCAAATAGCCATTAGGAATGCTCATGTACGGAGCAGCTTGCATTTTTAAATGCAGTGGCGGACACAGGTTTTGCAACGGGGGGAGGAAGGAAAGAAAGCGAATGGTTATTAGCGTTGCTACCTTCCTGTCACTTGTGCAATCCCGTGAGATGCAGCGCGGAAGACACGTCTTTGAAACGTCTCAAAGGGCTTCACGGAATAGACTGTGAAGTGAATTGACTATTATTTTGTGGGTGAAACATTTTCATTCACTCATTAAATTCAGATCAGTCTGCTCAGAACAAATAGTCTATGGAAACTAAGCCAACATCATAAACCTTGGACTACTTCCATTGCTCAACTGCAGTTCCTTCTTAAAGCCACGTCAAGCAGATTTCCAAATATAGCTGAGCTAGGAGTGACAAAAGGGAATGGTTCATTTGCCTAGCGCTGGAAATTAAATGGGAGATTGGGCCAACTGGATCAAGCCCCAATACCATATAGGCTTTTAAAGACTAACCCAAACAATGTCCCAAGTTTTACACAATTAATTTCCAGTACAAGAGACAAGGTACTGAGATTCGGGGGTGGGGTTAGGTTTGTGAAGTTGATTGGGCACATAGCAGTTAAGTGCCTGGAGACTAAAAGAGGTCAATAAAGAAAAACCTCATTGAGGAGTTAATCCTGTTGAGTTCTTTTTTTTCTCAAAAACCTCCCCTCCCAACCCAACAGCTCATTTAGAATCCAAGCTAACAAATGATCGCACTTAACCCCTATGATCAACAGTGCTTGTCCATGCATTTAACGCAACGTGAGAGCCCTGGACGGTTACTGGTGAGGAAGAACCATAACTTACTCCCAGGAAGAAATCTTGACCATGATTAAAACTTTGCCCTCGATACAGTTGATACTTCAGTCACAGGGCGTTGGTCAAAGTCAAAAGGACTCGGATGCAATGGGGTGCGGGGCCGACTGACGCGAAACCTAGTTTCTGCAGAGTCACTGCTGTGGTTTTAATAGAACAAAGAGGCCAATTCCTGTACGCTTCTACAGAAGTTAAGGCCTTTAGAAACAGCAAAAGGGAGGGTTTATCTGTGATACGCATCCAAGCTAAATGCAACAACTGCAAGGAAAGTATTTTTTTTTAAAAAAAGAAAAGTTCAATACAAGTCTAAGGTTCACAAGCTGCCTCCTACCTGCCTGTGTGTATTTTTTTTAAAAAAAATTCTAAGACTTCTACTGAATCCTAACAATGGACTGTCAAGAGTTTCTCCTCTCTCTGAAATTCAAGTCACTGCAAGGGGAAATTGTGCATCTGGCCATCTGGATTTGTGCTGCTTCATCCAAAAAAAAATCTTCCCCCCACTTCGCCCGCTCCGCCAATAAATGTTAAAAAGATATCCTTGGGCTCTATTAAGTTGAGGGAGAATTGCTTAATACTAAGAGGTGGCTTGAGCATTAAACCACTCCCATTTCCTTTCCCTTTTTTTTAAAAAAAATAAAAAAGTACAATTTTTCGTTACCCTCTCCAAGCGCTGTGTGTTAAAATTAGCCCTTCCTTGGAGCTATCTTTGTGAAGGTATATTTGGCTTTGAAACATAAAGGAAATGTGAAGGACAACACTTGCAGTTTATAAGAAATGGAGTCACAGCATCACTAATAATCCCCATGAAGTGCAACTGAAAGGGAATTCTACACAGCGTTAGATTAGTTCTAGGAGAGCAATCGTGGACTATTTTAAACGCGAGCACACAAGTTCGCCCGGAGTTCTGGGCAGGGGTAATCCTGGACATGCTGTTAAGTTTGAGTGTCAGTTCTTTTCCCCTCCATTACAGATCTCAATTAAAAAAAACACTTTCAGTCTATCAGATTATATATGTGTGTAAATATTACATATATATATATATACATACACACATACACAAAATCACACCACACTAATGTACCGTAGTAAATCTGGAGAGAGGAGAAAACAGAAGAATGCTTTGACATGCCAATGGCATAGATTCAGAATGGACAATATCAGGGCAGAACAGATTTCTTTACACAGTTTAATTAGCAGGTGGAACGGGTTACCAAGGAAGGGTGATCGAGGCCAGGACACCAATTTAAGAAGCAGCTGAATGCTGAAGTGGGAAGTCAATGGGGTGGATATTCTGGAGGGACGACCTTTCTTTTAATCCGTGATCGCACCAGTGTGATATGGTGCAGCAGGCAAGGCATAGATTACAAAACGAATCCATTCCCAAAAAATAGAGAAGAGCAAGAACTTGCTGAGCATCAGACACACAAGACTGAATAAAAGTGCTTACCAGTATAG